AGCCGCAGCAGCCGCCGCAGACGAGGCCGGCGAGTGCTCTCCCGCCTGGGTGGCCTGGAGCGGGTGGTGGTCGTGCGCGTGGTGGTGCACCGGGTGGTGGTTCTGGAGGCGGGCCCTGTCAGTACCAGATCCAGACCGGTCCTCGCCGCGGCTTCGTTTGCGGTAAGATCGGTCATTCTACTCCTCGCTGTTTTCGTCGTCTGGACGACCTGTTCCGCCAGCGCTTTGGCCCGGCGCCCGACCTCCCGGACTGGCACAGCTTGCTTAGGCGTAGCATTAGGATTTTTGACTTGGACATGGATGCCATTGTAGCGGCCTTGCATGTGATGTATGCCGATGACTCTAGTGTGCTTCCCTCTTATTACCCCGTGTTGCCTAGTGTAGCGGTGCCTAGCGTCGACTCCCCTGCTGCGTCAGGCGTAGGATCTCCTGCTTTGCTTAGCCTTGGTGCTTCCACCGCTTCACTGCCGCCTCGCGCGACTGCTGCGCTTTCCTTCACCTTGGACTCTGGCGCCTCCCGGTGTTTCTTCCGCGACTCCACGACGCTGACGCCGTTGCCTGTTCCCGCTGCAGTTACTCTTGCTGACCCCTCCGGTGGTCCCGTCGTTGCCCGCAGTTCCACCTCCCTTCCCTGTCCGGCGGTTCCTTCAGGTTCGCTCACCGGTCTGCATATCCCCTCGTTCTCCAGGAACCTAGTTGGTGTCGGCTGCCTCCAGGACCTTGGCGTCACCACTACGTTCCCTGGTCACGAGCGGTATGCTGTCTGTACCGAGGCCGCCACTGGTGCCCCCCTTACCACTTTCCCCCGGGATCCGGTGTCCGGCCTGTTCACACTTGACACCGCGACGTCCCCGGCTGGGTCTTCCCCCCCGGTAGCTGCGTCCACCCAGGTTGCTGCCGCGTGCTCCTGTCGGTCCCTCACTCACCCGACTCTCCTTTGGCACCACCGCCTTGGTCACCCTGCACTCCCACGTCTGCGTCACATGTCCCAGCACGGTCTCGTCCTTGGTCTCCCCAGTTCGTTCCCCGAGTTTCCCTCCTCCCCCGCCCCACCGTGCACGCCTTGTGTCGAGGGCCGGCTCCGCCGTGCCCCTCACTCCTCCTCTTTTCCCCCTACCACCGCACCACTGCAGACTCTGCACATGGACGTCTGGGGCCCAGCCCCGGTCCATGGGCCGCGTCGCGAGCGCTTCTTCCTAGTGCTTGTCGACGACTTCACGCGCTACACCACCGTCTTCCCCCTGGAGCGGAAGGCCGACGTGCCTGACGTTCTCATCCCCTGGCTTGTCTCTGCTCGTGTCCACCGCGGTCTCCCTGCCTTGCGCCTCCACTCCGACCGGGGTGGCGAGTTTGCCTCAGGTGTCCTTGGTCGCTTCTGTCGTGCGGAGGGCATCACCCAGACGTTTACCCTGCCGGACTCCCCGCAGCAGAATGGGGTCGCTGAGCGACGCATCGGTTTGGTCATGGAGGTGGCTCGCACCTCCATGATCCACGCCGGTGCACCCCATTTTCTGTGGCCGTTCGCCGTGCGCTACGCCGCTCACCAGCTTAACCTGTGGCCGCACCCCCAGCGGCCGCAGGTTTCGCCGACCCTTCTGTGGACCGGGTCCCCTGGTGACGCGTCTGCGTTCCGCGTCTGGGGCTGCCTTGCTCACGTTCGTGCCTCCGGCACGGACAAGCTCACTGCCCGCACCCTCCCCTGCGTCTTCCTCGGTTTCCCCCTTGACGCGTCCGACTGGCACTTCTACCACCCGCCGTCTCACCGCTTCTTTCACTCTCGCGACGTCACCTTTGACGAGTCCGTCTCCTTCTACCGCCGCTTTCCCCACCGTGGTCCCCCGGTTACTCCCCCCCTGTTCCTGGTTCCTCCCTCCCTGGTGGTCCCTGCCCCTCCCCCCCCCCCGCCCCCCCGTCCGGCCCCCTCTGGTGTGTCTCACGTCACCCCCCTCCCGTCGGTCGTCCCGGTCGACGAGTCTTCTGACTCTGGTAGTCCTCCGGCGCAGTCCTCGCCGTCTGTCCCTCCCCCGGTGTCTCCTCCTCCACCGCCTCCGCAGCCGCCGTCGCCGCAGCTGCTCCAGGCGTCGTCTCCACCGCCGCCGCCGTTGCAGCCGTCGTCTCCGCCGCCGCCGCCGTCGCAGCCGTCGCTGCAGCCGCCGCCGCCGCCGCCGCTGTCGTCGCTGCCGCCGTTTGTGGCCTCTGGGGGTGCTGGCGTTGGGGTGGGTACTAGTCCCGGGGCTCCTGTCGTGGCTTGTCCCGGCGGACCTAGGGGTGGTACCGGTGCTGGCGGGGTTTCGGGCTCTGGGGGTGTCCCTTCTGGGGGTGCAGGTGTGGAGTGTTTGGGAGGTAGCCGTCGCGCAGCTTGTGGCCCTGGTGTTGGTGTTGTGTCGCCGCAGCAGCAGTCCCCGCCCGTGTCCGCCCTCCGTCTGCTCGACCTTCCGTCCCCTGACCCTGCGCCTGTTCCTCTCCTGCCGTCTCCCCCTCTTCCCGTCTACGGCCCTGTGTTCTCTCTGCCAGACTCGTCCCCGGCTCGTCTTCCCCCTTGTTCCCCTCCTGTGTCCCCTCCTCTGTCTCCTGACCCGACGCCGCCCTCACACGTCTGGTCTCGCCGCCCCTCTCATGCTCGTCCTGTCTCCCCTGTCCCGCGCTCTCACCCTATGTTGCTCCGTTCCCACGCGTCTCGTCCTCCCCTCCTCCCGTCTCCTCCTCCGTCTTCTCTTGTCGTTGCGTCTCCTCCTCTGTCCGACTACTTTCGTGCCGCTCGTCCTCTTGTTCCTCGGGTCCTTGCCTCTCTCGTTACCGACCCGTCTGTTCCAGTGTCGAGTCTTGACGCCCTCGTCACTGCGGTCGCTGACTTCGCCTCTACCCGCCGCCTTGACTACGCCACCGCTCTGGTCTCTCACCCTGCCTGTCCTCCGTCTGTCGGGGGTGCTCCTGCCCTCGGCAGTGACGTCCTGGAGGACCGCCAGTTTGAGCTTGCTTTCCTGTCCGAGGCTGCTCCCCATCTCTGTTCCATGCTGCTAGTCCCTGAGGGTGACCCAGACGCTTTCGACATCCCGACCCCTCGTACTTACCCTGAGGCGGTTTCGGGACCCTGGGCCTCTCAGTGGATAGCTGCCATGGAGCAGGAGATGGCATCTTGGAGATCCACCGGCACCTTCGTCGACGCAGTTCCCCCACCTGGGGTGAACGTGGTCGATGGCCGTTGGCTCTTCAAGGTGAAGCGCCCTCCTGGAGAGCCGCCTGTGTTCAAGGCGCGCTACGTGGCTAGAGGCTTCAGTCAGCGCGAGGGGGTGGACTTCTTTCAGACTTTCGCTCCTACCCCGAAGATGACTACTCTTCGGGTTCTGCTACACGTAGCTGCTCAGCGTGACTACGAGCTTCACTCCCTCGACTTCTCCACTGCCTTTCTTCAGGGCAGCCTTCACGAGCAGGTCTACCTGCGTCGCCCTCAGGGCTTTACTGGCACCTTCCCCCCTGGGACCCAGTGGCTTCTGCGGCGGCCAGTCTACGGCCTGCGCCAGGCGCCTCGTGAGTGGCACGACACTTTGCGTGCTACCCTTGCTGACCTGCAGTTCTTTCCGTCCTCTGCAGACCCCTCGCTCTTCGTTCGTGCTGGCTCGACTCCATTCTACATCCTCGTCTACGTAGACGACCTGGTCTTTGCCACTGCTGACAGGGACGCACTGGCCTCCGTGAAGGCAGGGCTGCTGAAGAGACACACCTGCACTGACCTTGGAGAGCTGCGCCGTTACCTTGGCTTGCAGATCTCCAGGGACAGAGCCGCGCGCACCATCACCCTGACTCAGTCACACTTGGTGCGCCAGGTCCTTCAGAGGTTCAGCCTTCAGTTCTCCTCCGCACAGCCCACCCCTCTTCCTCTGGACCACAGGCTCTCCGCTCCAGTTCCTGAGGAGTCGGTAGATCCCAGTGGTCCTTACGCTGAGCTAGTGGGTTGCCTCATGTACCTGATGACTTGCACTCGCCCAGATCTCGCATACCCTCTCAGCATCCTGGCTCGTTTCGTGGCCACAGGCAGACACCGACCTCAGCACTGGTCTGCCGCTAAGAGGGTTTTGCGTTATCTTGCAAGTACATCGGGCATGGGGTTAGTGCTAGGCGGACGCAGGCCAGTGGTCCTTACTGGACACACAGACGCTTCTTGGGCAGACGACGCCGAGACGCTCAGGTCTTCCCAGTGCTACTGCTTTAGCCTTGGCTCAGGTGCTGTCTCGTAGAGAGCTACCCGCTCTTCGTCTGTTGCCCAGTCCAGCTGTGAGGCCGAGATCTACGCCGGTGCCATGGCGGCACAGGAGCTCCGCTGGCTGACCTTCTTGCTCACTGACTTAGGTGAGCGGCCTAGCTCTGCCCCGGTCCTGTACGCTGACAACAGGGCCATGATCCTCCTGTGTCAGGAGCCTCGACTCGAGGGCAGAGCGAAGCACATCCAGCTGCGGTACTTCCTCCTGCGTGAGCTACAGCAGCGTCGCCAGGCTCGCGTAGTACACTTAGCCTCCGGTGCCAACACAGCTGATATCTTTACGAAGGCACTTGCGCCTAAAGATCATCAGCGGCACTGTGTACAGCTTGGTCTAGTTCCTGTAGTCTCTCACTTACTCGGGCCTTGACTTTGTACTGTCCTATATATCTGTGTGTACACTCAGACTGGACTTGTGTCCTCTTACAGTGGTTGGACTAGTAGTGCCGCCCTGTACTAGTTCTTGCCTTGCCTGTACTCCTTCTGACTGGTCTTTTAGACCCTTGTCTCAGAGGCTGGACTAGTAGTGCCACCCTGAGCTGCTTGTCTAGAACATTCCCCTATGCAGTCCAGGGGGTGTGTCAAACATGTTTAGTTATCATGCTTGTATAGACTGTATAGGGTCATCTTCTAGAGAGTACAACAGTTAGGTATATGTTTGTGTACTCTCTCACTCTAATCACAAATTTCACTGTTTGATACTCGTTTCCTTAACACGTACCATATGGGAAGTCAGCCAAAGGTTGAGCATGCAGTCGGGAAGTGAATATCAAAATGATCAAGGACTACCATTCCAATAGCTCTTCATATGCAGACAACTCTACAAATGGCGCTTATTAACTACGCAAACACCCCACTCCTCCAGCCCTACTAGCCCATCGTTGAAACCGTTAGGCAGAATCAGTGAAGCTTGGGCGGAATGACGACGGTGTCGACACCATGCACTACCACCTGCTTGTCTACATAGATAGCTGGGTCGACGATCTTGAGCCCACCACCAGCACCAGGCTTGTTGAATGTTGCAGGCTTGTCTCCGGATTTCGCCAGCGTATACTTGTAGTCAATGGTTGAAAACTGGAAAAATAGAGCAGAGCAACAGAACAAGATCAAATAAGGAATGGAGAATTTCATGTGGGTGGGAGAAGAGGAAGCACATGCGTTCGTGCGTGATACCCCCAACAGTGTGTGTTGGTGTTGAGAGGGTGGGAAACAAAGAGAGACATTTAAAGAACGAGAGAGGGAGGGCCAGGTTGGGAGGACGGAGGAAGTGTCCAAACGGCTTTGCGTGAATATCACACACGGCGCAAGTACCTGTGTAGTGTAGTCACCCCTTCCTACCTGCGTCTTGACTGGGAGTGTCTGAAAGTCAGCATTGAAGAACCGCTTCTTCAGCACGTGGTAAGAAACTATCTGCAGCAGCAGCTTGGGGTTCTTGCGGATCTTGGTGTACTGCAGGCTGCCCTTGAGCTTGCCGAACGCGCTGTTGCTCGGCACGAGCACCGTCATCTGGGAGGAAGGCAGGTACTGCCTGAGCGTGTTGTTCAGGCCTGAAAGGAAGGAGAGAACGATGAGAGAGAAAAAACAAAGCCGGGAGGGAATAGGGAAGGCTGAATATGCTTGGGGTTCTTGAGGGCCCCGAAGCAGCAGCTTGGGGTTCTTGCGGATCTTGGTGTACGGCAGGCTGCCCTTGAGCTTGCTAGACGCGCTGTTGCTCGGCACGAGCATTGTCATCTGAGCGTGTTGTTGAGACCTGGAACGGGGAGGAGAGAGGGGGTGGAAAAGGGAAGAGGCGGGGAGTGAGGGAGATGAGTAAGAGCCGGTGCAAACACCTTCATCTGGGAAGAAGAAGGCAGGTACTGCCTGAGTGTGTTGTAGAGACGTGGGGAAGGGATAGGGGGGAAGGGGTGAGGGGAGAAAGTATGCTTTTGAGCCATCTCCAGGCGGCATGGCACAACACCGTCTGCAGCTGCAGCTTGGGGTCTTTAGAGGCCTGCAGCAGCAGCTTGGGGTTCTTGCGGATCTTGGTGTACTGCAGGCTGTACTTGAGCTTGCCGAACGCGCTGTTGCCTGGCACGAGCACGGTCATCTAAGAGGAAGGCAGGTACTGATTCAGAGTGTCGTTCGGGCCTGAAGGGAGAGGAGAGAGGGGGAAGTAAGGGAGGCATGAGACTTATTCACCTCAGCCGCACGAGAGCCCAGGCGCCTCACCACGAGCACGGTCATCTGGGAGGAAGGCAGGTACTGCCTGAGCGCGTTGTTCAGGCCTGAGGGGAGAGGAGAGAGGGGGTTAGTGAGAGAAATAGTGGGGATGCAAGAGGAGAGGGGGAGGTGAGTGAGAGCTGGTGCGAGCACGCTCATCTTGGAGGCTGAGAGGAGGCGCTGGAGCTTGCTGTTGAGGGATGAGCGAAAGGAGAGAGGGGGTGAATGGGGGAGTGGGAATGGGGGTGTTCACGAGGTTTAAAAAAAGAAAAAGAAAGAAAGCAAGAATGAATGAAAGGAAGAAGCTGCTGCAGAACTCACCGGAGATCTCCCACGCGGCGAGCGCGACGGAGTAGTTCTTCTTCTTCAGCTTCCCCGTCATCTGCTCGTACCCGGTATACGCTGACGCGATCTGCGCCACACAGAGCACGCCGAAGACAGCCGAGAGGAGCACAAGAGACGCCACCGGGGCTCTCTTTGATGCTGCTGCTGGACCCATTGGAAAGTTGCCCTTCAGGAAAGTTGCCCTTCAGGAAAGTTGCCCTTCAGGAAAGTTGCCCTTCAGGAAAGTTGCCCTTCAGGAAAGCTGCCCTTCGGGAAAGTTAGACCGGGGTTGCTGCAACCCTTTTGCTGGTCCCAATGTAGTAAGGTAGTACGTTTCGACGCGCGGGTCGCGCGTTCTGCCTGGTTGCGTAAGGTGATAATAGTCGAAAGTCGAGAGTGTACAAGACTCTCTGAGCGTCGGACTCCGCGGCCACTGGGTTTGGGGACTTGGAAAAGATTGAAGCTACAAGCCTGCGAGACTCACTGATAAAGGTTCGGAACCTTGGGTGCTACTAGTCTTGTGATATCACTGATAAGAGATCCTATCGCGGCGGTACTGCTGCCTTATCTGCGGTTCCTCGAGTCACTCCAGAAACACGGTGCCGGTGTTCGCTTGAAGAGGCCGGCTTCTTGCCGCGAGAGCCGCGAGAGCCGCGACACCACTGCTGGAAACGGTGGCGAGGCGAGGTGCCACTGGTGAGAGGACTCCTCTTCGCCGGGAAGGGTGGGTGGGAGGGAGAATATACGTCTTGCGCCGCAGCCGACGTGATCTCGTCGAGCGCCGTATTGGTACAGAAAAGTACCAGGCCATAACGCTAATCCTGGACGCGACGCGACCGATGCGATGCGACGCGACGAGGCTCGACACGACACCCACCTCCTCGCAGAAAAAACCGGGACTACGTGCCAAACGTTTCCAACGGACAGCGCCCAATCGCCCACGCTCTGCGGGACATCCCTACCAACTGACTCCAACAAGCTCCAGCAATGATCGGGACGGGAAGGTTTACCCCACCACCGCCACGTCTTATCTTCCCAGCCCTGGGATTGTCGGCGTGGGTTTTTTACCCTCCCAGCCATACTTTTCCACCCTCAGGAGGGATATCCCACAGGCAATATCCCACTCGCCCGTTCCGTCCTGATTGAGTGTGGTTCAGAGAGGTCATTTGCTTTACAGAGCGGTAATCTAAAACGCGAGAGCGGTTCCAGCGTAACACCTCCCCCCCACACACGGCTTCGCAGTAAGGTGCAGTCCCTATGAAGCGGAAAGCCAACACCAATTCTACAGCTGTTCAAAACTTCTTTGCTATTAAATGGTTAAAACGTTACTTCAATCTCAACTATATATGTTAGAAGCTCTAGAAATGGGACTATACATTGGCAGGGACAGGCTAGTGGCAATACATAAAATACATAAATGTTTCAAGAGGATGTTATGCATGGAAGTGTAGAGAAAGGATGCCCACATCCTCCCCACCCCCACCCCTTCCCCCTCCCCTCCCTCCTTCCCTCTCCCAGCACAGGAGGAAATTCCAGCCCACTAAGAAACAGCATCACTTAATCTTGGGTGGGATGACGACAGTGTCAACGCCATGCACGATCACCTGGGGGTCCACATAGAGGTCCGGGGCAATTATCTTGAGCCCACCAGTGGCCCCGGGCTTGGCGAATGCTGCTGGCTTGGTCCTGGTCTTCACCAGCACGTACTTGTAGTCAAGGGTTGCAAACTGGGGAAGCAGACGAAAACAAGAGCCCAGGGAGGGACAGACAGGTGAGGGAAATGCAGAGTCAGCATTTTCAGCATCTGGCTTGGTTCTGGTCTTGACCGTCGTGAACTTGTAGTCGATCCTTGCAAACTGGTGTGGAGAAAAAGAGGTAAGGCGGAAAAGCGAGGGAGAGCCGGAGGCGGAATGCAGAGCCTGCTTTTCTCTACTTAACGAGACCATAATTTCAGTCTATTGTTACAAGCTGGGCAAGGCACGAGCAAAGGAGGGAGGGGAAGGGAGGGACAATTGCGGGTCCTCTTTGAGTCAACTCATTGACCAAACCTCCCTCGATTTAGTCATGTGCCGTGGGAGGGAGAGATGGGGAGGGAGGGGAAAAAAGAGAGGTAAGGGACGGACATGGGTGTGCATGAGATGGCGGGAAGGAGGGAGGGAGGGATGGAAGGAGGAAGGGGGGAGAACGAGAGGTGGGGGGAAGGGACGGAGAATCAAAGATTAACTAGACACCTTGCTTCCGTACCTGGGTCTTCACCGGCAGCTTTTGGAGGGTGGAGTTGTAGAAGCGCTGCTTGAGGACGTGGTAGGACATGATCTGCAGCAGCGCCTTGGGGTTCTTCTTGAGCTTGGAGTACTGGAAGCTGCCGGTGAGCTTGCTGAATGCGCTGTTGCGCGGCGCGAACACGGTCAGTTTGGAGGTCGGGAGATACTGCTTAAAGGTGTTGTTCAGGCCTGGGGAAGAGAGGGGGGTGAAAACGAGGGAGACATGAGGGAAGACATGAGAGGAGCAGCATGGCCCGAGCACGGTCAGTTTGGAGGTCGGGAGATACTGCTTGAAGGTGTTGTTCAGGCCTGAGGGAGAGAGGGGGGTGAAAACGAGGGAGACATGAGAGATGACATGAGAGGAGCAGCATGGCCCGAGCACGGTCGATTTCGAGGTTGGGAGGTATAGCTTAAAGGTGTTGTTCAGGCCTGAGGGAGAGTTGGTGATGGCGGGGAAGAGGGAGGAGGAAGAGAGGTGGGGGGGGAGAGAAGGAAAGAGAGGAAGATGAAGGATAGGCGGGAGAACGGTCATCTGGAAGGCTGGGAGGTACTGCTTGAGGGTGTTGTTCGGGCCTGGGGGAGAGTGGGGGTGGGGGAGGAGTGGGGGGGGGGGGGGAGGGGGAGAGCGGGGAGGGGAGGAAGATAGAAAGGAAGATGAACCCTGAGCGGGGCGGGGGGGACCTGCCACGCGGCGAGTGGCTTCTCCGCCTCACCAGAGACCTAGACCGGCCACTCGGCGAGCGGCTTCTCCGCCTCACCAGAGACCTAGACCGGCCACGCGGCGAGCGGCTTCTCCGCCTCACCAGAGACCTAGACCGGCCACGCGGCGAGCGGCTTCTCCGCCTCACCAGAGACCTAGACCGGCCACGCGGCGAGCGCCGTGCTGTAACGCTTCATCTTGAGCTCCAAAAGGTTTCAGCACGTTAAAAAAAAAGGGGGGGGGGGGGGGGGGGGGGGTATGGAGGGGGGGGGGGGGGGGTATGGAGAGGGGGGAGGGAGGAAACTGTAACAGCTCACAGCTTTCAAGATAACACTATGGAAACCAAAGCTGTTCTTGACTCACCAGACACCTGCCACGCGGCGAGGGCCGTGCTGTAACCCTTCGTCTTAAGCTTCGCTATCATCTGCTGGTACCCGGTATAAGCTGAGGCGACTTGCGCCAGGAAGAGCACGCTGACGACAGCAAGGATCAGAGGAGTCGCCACGCCTCGCTTTGATACTCGAGCCATTGAAAAACAGAAGTTTTAAAGCGGCGAAAGGTGATAGTCCCGATCTGAATACTCTCCTACAGCTAAAACGGGAAAGGGGGTTAGTTACACACAGCCGCTGATGCGGGCTTAGAAACCTACAAGGCGTAAAAATGTTTTATTGTCCAGCGAACCGACTGAACTAACGGACTTTACGAACCGACTGTACGAAGAGACAGAATGAAGAGACAACAAACGGAGAGACTATGACCTGACTACTACAGTATATGCTTGACCAAAGGTAAGTGGAGACTGAACAAACGAGGCGTTACTAGTGAACACAGACTTACTCGTAATCAACATACGCGGCTCAATTCACAATGATGGGGGTGGGCTGACGACGATGATGATCAGATGGGTGGAGGGAGGCAAGAAGAACAGCAATACAGTACCCTACAACAGGCACACCTGGTGTAAAGGCGTGTCTTAAGCGTTCATTTACCATTTTGATAAGGTTTCAGTTACCCGTTTTGGCAATGTAACTCTCAAAAATACAAGTTAGGGGGATGCAGGTTACAGAGCACGCCGTCCAGGGTTGTAGGGCGAACGTGTGACAGTACTGAAGAAAAAACACCCCGGCATGCTAGTGGGGCAGAATCGTAACATTGTTCGCATCCCCCAACCAGAACCCAAACCACCGAAATTTGCGGCCACGACATTTCTAAGCCCGAGTGGATTTCGCCAGGGCCTTTTCCCTCGCTTCTTGTGACTTCGTTGAGAATGTAACCTGCTAACGGGAATTGCTTTTCGCGCAGTACACTTTGGCTTCCGACAAATGGTTCTGAGACCCTCGGGAGCATTTGTGCGCGAAGGTTGGGGTCGGTGGTTGGACCTGATTCTGTTCTTGTTCGAATTCGAGGACCGTTTGCCGAACTGGGCTTTGTGACGTTTCGGCACGTCTTTTCTGCCAAATAAACGGTTAGGACACGCCCTAGCAAAGTGATTGGCCACTGGGCTGGAGGAGAGTGCTTGTGTGTAACGAAATGGCCATGACTAAGCAGTGGCAGCACGGCAGGACGTGCAGGTTGAACAACTGAACAGCACCGCAAAACAGGAGGTTGAGAGGGGATGTATTGCGGTGTAACAAGTATTAAAACGAGTATAGCTCGGTTGGGAAGAAATGGCTTGGGTTCGGTGTGATTGTGGTTGGGCATCACCGACACGTGTGGGAAGGGCGGGGTGGAAGGTTCCATTCGTGGGGAGGTACAGTACGGCGCGGAGGGGCACGACACGACTGGTCAGGGCGGGACGTGTCAGCTTGGCAGTGCTTCCCACGGCGCACATCGGTTACCGGGGGATCCCGGCGTGCACGTCGCCATCGAACCAGAGAGGAGTCCGTTACCGTCAGGAATGTAACATCATGCGACAATGCCAGAGAGTTTGTGCAGCGCTGGCGCGTCAGCACCGTAACCTTCCAACCAGTAGGTTTCCCTCTGGGCGCGTCGCTATTGGGTTCTTCTTTGCACTATTGAACATTTAAAACCCGATCTCAGGGGTGGGTGGGGGGCTGGGGGGGTGTGGGGGGGGGGAGGGGGTTGGGTGGGTAGCGTGACTCGCGTCACTCAGGGGTGTCTTTCAAGTTCAGTGTGGCAGGTATTTTGGGACACCAAGTGCCACGCGTTTCATCCGTCCATTTCTTTCAGATTACCATCTGACGGCGCGAAAAGAGTGTTTTTCCCCCAATCAATCGAAGTGTAATCTTAGCCGTCAAACTGTGTGTTTACAAATCACGAATTCGCGGGATGAAACACCCTCGCGATTCTCCGCAAATTTCGTACAGGCCGAGGCTCGAAGTTCATACGCACTGGGTATGAACAATTTGGGCCGCGGGTTGTAAGTGGGTGGTAATTACTTTCAATGTGAATGGATGGACCCCATGGTGGCTTCTACAAATTGAGAGAAAAAAATAAAAATCGTCCTGATTCTTCCATTCCCATATTAACAGCACGAGTCCAGAACGAGCACGCTGCCCTCAGGGATTCAGCAAATGAGTGCTGTGTTAGGAGGAATGTTGTGATGCCAAGACACATTACGCATCGGTGTTCAGTAAAAGGGAAGGCCAATTCCTTCAAAATTCCGGACAACACAGCCTAGGATGCATCGTTGTTTCCTGCCACGTATGGATGCCAGCACCAAGTGATGGACAAAATGCACAAAAGCAAATGCTCCCCCTCCCCCCCCTCCCCCCCACACCCCCTCCTCTTCCCCACTCCAGCCCATCCAAGGGCAGCATTATTGAATCTTGGGTGGGATGACGACGGTGTCGACGCCATGCACAATCACTTGGGGGTCCACATAGAGGTCCGGAGCAACGATCTTGAGCCCGCCAACAGCCCCGGGCTTGCTGAATGATGCTGGCTTGGTTCTGGTCTTCACCAGCACGAACTTGTAGTCGATGGTGGCAAGCTGGAGGATGCACCGGGTAAGGAGCAGGGAGAAAAAGAAAAGGAAAAGGAATGAGAAGGATAAGGAAAAGGAATGAGAAGGATAAGGAAAAGGAATGAGAAGGAAAAGGATAAGGAAAAGTCTGCTTTCGAGGCGTCTTATGCGTGCGGTTCTGGTCTTCACCATCACGAACCTGTTGTCAATGGTGGCAAGCTGGAGGATGCATCGGGAAAGGAGGGGAGCGAAGGAAATATTGTGACTTTTGAGTCGACTCAAAAGTCACCTAATATTGTGTCTATGTTTAGTCTTTCTCCCTGGGGCCTTGACAGCCGAGTTTTGAGGCGCCTCAAAACCTGGGGCCTTGACAGCCGAGTTTTGAGGCGCCTCAAAACCTGGGGCCTTGACAGCCGGGTTTTGAGGCGCCTCAAAACAAGGGGGCCTTGACAGCCGAGTTTTGAGGCGCCTCAAAACCTGGGGCCTTGACAGCCGGGTTTTGAGGCGCCTCAAAACAAGGGGGCCTTGACAGCCGAGTTTTGAGGCGCCTCAAAACCTGAAGCCTTGACAGCCGAGTTTTGAGGCGCCTCAAAACCTGGGGCCTTGACAGCTTCCCTAAGTGGAGTTTACACACCAGCACCATGCTACGGCATTTACCCATCCAACTCTTTATTCTCCATTTTCGTTTCGGGTCATTTAACTGCAGTGAAGACTAGCAGGCGCACCTGTGCCTGCACTGCAGTCAACCCATAATTTAGGTTAGTCAAATCAAATCAACACCTTGGGGTGCACCTCTGAAATACACTTACGGTTCTTCCCACCCACCCTCAAGACTCTTCTCAACTCAGCTACCCTTGAAGAAGCTCCCTTCAAATTACTATTCTCTTACCAGCGTCTTGACTAAAACCACGTGGAGGGTCGAGTTGGAAAGCTGTTACTTGAAGACGCGTTCTTTTTCTTCGCACCTGAGTCTTCCCCTGCTCTTACCTGCATTTCGACTGGGACCGCCTGGAGGGTGTCTAGTCACAGAACCATCGACAGGAACGGCCAGGAGGACCGAGTCTTCCGCTGCTGCAAGACGTGCTGAGCAATCACCTGCACCAGAGACTTGGGTTTCTTCTCACCTACCCTTGAGGTCCTCAACACTGCACATCACACCAGAGGCTTCCCTGTTCGCACCTGCATCGTGACTGGCACCGACAGCAGGGTCGAGTCTTAGAACGGCTGCTGCAAGACGTGGTGGGCAATCACCTGCAGCAGCTTCTTGGGTTTCTTCTCACCTAACCGTTAGGTCCTCCCATTCCATGTTCTTCATACCTGAGCCTTCAACCGATCTCGCCTTAAATCTCCCCTGTTCTAACCTGCACCTTGACTAGCAGCGCCTGCAGCGTCAAGTCATAGAACCACTGCTTGATAACATGGTAAGCCATTATCTGCAGCGCCGCCTTGGGGTTCTTCTCAGCCACCCTCAAGGCTCTACTCTTCAATCCTCCCCTGTTCTCCCCTGTCCTCCCCTGTTCTCCCCTGTTCTCGCCTTGGGGTTCTCGTCACCGACACTAAGGGTCCTCACGACTGCACGTCATACAAGAGTCTTCCCCTGTTCGCACCGGCGTCTTGACTGGAAGAGCCTGCACCGTCAAGTTGTAGAACCGCTGCTTGCAAACGTATGAGCAGCAGCACCTGGGGGTTTCTCGTAATCACGCCTTCATACCTACGCATTAATCACACCTTCCTACCTGCGTCTTGACTGGCAGCGCCTGGAGGGTGGAGTTGTAGAAGCGCTGCTTGAGGACGTGGTACGCCATGACCTGCAGCAGCGCCTTGGGGTTCTTTCTCACCTACCCTTGAGGTCCTCAAGATTGCACATCACACCACACCAGAGACATCCCTGTTCTCACCTGCGTCTTGACTGGCAGCGCCTGGAGGGTGGAGTCGTAGAACCGCTGCTTCGAGACGTGGTACGCCATGACCTGCAGCAGCGCCTTGGGATTCTTCTTCAGCTCGGAGTACTGGAAGCTGCCAGTGAGCTTGTTAAAGGCGCTGTTGATTGGCGCGAAGATAGTCATCTTGGAGGTTGGGAGGATCTCCTTGAGGGTGTTGTTGAGACCTGCGGTAAAGAGAGGGGGGGGGAGTAGAGAGGCATCAATGAGGGAACGATTTCAGGAGCCCGTCCAAGGTCATCTTGGAGGTTGGGAGGAATTGCTTGAGGGTGTTGTTCAGACCTGCGAGGTCGGGGAGGGAGGGGGAAGAAAGGGAGATAAAGAGAGGGAGATGAGAGAGGGAGATGAGAGAGGGAGATGAGAGAGGGAGATGAGAGAGGGAGATGAGAGAGGGAGATGAGAGAGGGAGATGAGAGAGGGAGATGAGAGAGGGAGATGAGAGAGGGAGATGAGAGAGGGAGATGAGAGAGGGAGATGAGAGAGGGAGATGAGAGAGGGAGATGAGAGAGGGAGATGAGAGAGGGAGATGAGAGAGGGAGATGAGAGAGGGAGGGGAGATGAGAGAGGGAGATGAGAGAGGGAGATGAGAGAGGGAGATGAGAGAGGGAGATGAGAGAGGGAGATGAGAGAGGGAGATGAGAGAGGGAGATGAGAGAGGGAGATGAGAGAGGGAGATGAGAGAGGGAGATGAGAGAGGGAGATGAGAGAGGGAGATGAGAGAGGGAGATGAGAGAGGGAGATGAGAGAGGGAGATGAGAGAGGGAGATGAGAGAGGGAGATGAGAGAGGGAGATGAGAGAGGGAGATGAGAGAGGGAGATGAGAGAGGGAGATGAGAGAGGGAGATGAGAGAGGGAGATGAGAGAGGGAGATGAGAGAGGGAGATGAGAGAGGGAGATGAGAGAGGGAGATGAGAGAGGGAGATGAGAGAGGGAGATGAGAGAGGGAGATGAGAGAGGGAGATGAGAGAGGGAGATGAGAGAGGGAGATGAGAGAGGGAGATGAGAGAGGGAGATGAGAGAGGGAGATGAGAGAGGGAGATGAGAGAGGGAGATGAGAGAGGGAGATGAGAGAGGGAGATGAGAGAGGGAGATGAGAGAGGGAGATGAGAGAGGGAGATGAGAGAGGGAGATGAGAGAGGGAGATGAGAGAGGGAGATGAGAGAGGGAGATGAGAGAGGGAGATGAGAGAGGGAGATGAGAGAGGGAGGGGAGATGAGAGAGGGAGATGAGAGAGGGAGATGAGAGAGGGAGATGAGAGAGGGAGATGAGAGAGGGAGATGAGAGAGGGAGATGAGAGAGGGAGATGAGAGAGGGAGATGAGAGAGGGAGATGAGAGAGGGAGATGAGAGAGGGAGATGAGAGAGGGAGATGAGAGAGGGAGATGAGAGAGGGAGATGAGAGAGGGAGATGAGAGAGGGAGATGAGAGAGGGAGATGAGAGAGGGAGATGAGAGAGGGAGATAGAGAGAGGGAGATGAGAGAGGGAGATAGAGAGAGGGATGGTGCGACGATAGTCATCTCCCTCTTGGAAGTAGGGAGATACTGCTTGAAGGAGTTGTTGAGACCTGAGGGAAAGAGAGGGGGGAGAGAGTAGAGAGGCATGAATGAACGAACGATTTCAGGGGCCCGTCCCTGATTTCAGGGGCCCGTCCCTGATTTCAGGGGCCCGTCCCTGATTTCAGGGGCCCGTCCCTGATTTCAGGGTCATCTTGGAGATAAAGAGAGGGGGATTGAGAGAGGGATGGCCCGAGCACGGGCAAGAGCACGGGCACGAGCACGAGGTTGGGAGGTACTGCTTGAGCGTGCTGACGAGATCTGGGCGTGTTGTTGAGAGCTGAGGGAGAGAGCCGGGATTCGGGAGGCATGGCGATAAGGTAAAATTGCAGGCATCCCTTTCAGTGGCGCAAGCACGGTCAGTTGCGAGGCAGAGTGACGGCACTCAAGAGAGTTGCATTGGTTTTTGAAATTTCTCAAAAACCGTTTGCGAGGTACGGAGATGCCACCCGAGAGTGTTGTTGAGACCTAAGGAAAGAAGAGAGAGATGAGATAGCTGAGAGAGAGAGAGAGAGAGAGAGAGAGAGAGAGAGAGAGAGAGAGAGAGAGAGAGAGAGAGAGAGAGGGAGAGAGAGAGGGAGAGAGAGAGGGAGAGAGAGAGGGAGAGAGAGGGAGAGGGAGGGAGAGAGAGAGAGAGAGAGGGAGAGGGAGGGAGGGAGAGAGAGAGAGAGGGAGAGGGAGGGAGGGAGAGAGAGAGAGAGAGAGAGAGAGAGAGAGAGAGAGAGAGAGAGAGAGAGAGAGAGAGAGAGAGAGAGAGACGGCGTAAGCACCGTGATCTGAGAGGAGGGAGATACCGCTTGAGAGTGTGGTTGAGACCTGAGGGAAGAAGAGAGAGGTGAGATAGAACTATAGAGAGAGGGACGGCGGAAGCACGGTGATCTGTTTTTGAGTCGACTAAAAAACAGACTCATTACACACAGAGGAGGGAGATACGCGCTTGAGATTGTGGTTGAGACCTGAGGGTGCGAGGGGAGAAGCAGGGAGGCCTGAACGGATCGGGTGCGGAAGGAGGGTGAGAAACAGGTTCGTAACCATTGTCAAATGCTACTAACGTTGTGACTGGCTAATCCCCGACTCAGGAGACTGCTTCTGAGTCGACTCAAAGGCAGACTCTTTACACGCGGTTTTTACATTGACAATATACTTGTTGCAGGGAGGCCTGAACGGATCGGGTGCTGAAGCAGGGAGGACAATGGTTCTTAACCATTGTCGAATGCGATCAACGTTGTCACTGGCTGATCCCATTAGACAGTAGGGCGAATATCATTGATAATAATAATCCCATTAGAGAGTAGGACGAATGTCATTGATCATAACCGCTGTTATCATCGATGCCCATTTGACGGGCCAGTATCGACATGTCAGACGCGACCGCTCGTTACAATCACTTCAGCGAAGTGCATCAGGCGCCTCGAATCGTGATTGCAATCACCCTACGGATGTGGGAGCGCTTACTGCTGCGACGAACTGCCGCCATAGCGTAATGCATGGTCCGGCTCCTGTACGCTATTTAAAAGTGACTTTTGACACCTCATAGTGCACGGTCCGGCTCCTGTACGCTCTCTAGAGGGCTCTAAGAGATCGCTTCAGAATGATTCCCCTTGTTCCCTTCAAGGGGGACGGTGCTCGTCTTTTCGAAACAATGAACAGAGAGGGAAAGCGAAATAAAGTACCAACCGCGGCTTTTTCCAACTCACCAGACGTCTTCCAGGCAGCGAGCGTGGTGCTAAAACCCCTTGTCTTCAGCTTCGCTACCATCTGCTGGTACCCGGTATAGGCTGACGCGGCTTGCGCCACGCAGAGCACGCTGACGGCAGCGAAGAGCAGCAGGGCCGCCGAGCCCCTCATTGATGCTCGACCCATTGATTTCAGGAAGTTCGGGAAATCGCGAAAAAGGTGAATCTGGTAATAATGCCCTAATGCGATTGGACTCGAGAGTCGACGATGCAGTTTAGAATCTACGAAACCTCGCGGCCTCAGGCTAGTAGTGATCCTTGTTCTTCTTCGACCAGCTTGTTCTTCTTCGACCAATGCTAACAGTAGGGTCGTCTTGGTGTGCAGATAATAGAGTCCGAGGTGGGAGCTGCGTCGTGCGTGCGGTACAAATAATAGCTACGAAAATGCTAGCATGAAACGAGACGAGAGGTCGAGTTTCTGACGCATACGCATCGTGCAAACTGTAATAAGCAGGTGAGTTTGGGCGGATAAGCAAAGCGCCTGGCGGATGGGTGTTGATGTGTCGTGGGGGCCTGCCTGGCCTGGGAGACCAGTCACCACCACACAAGCGGGAGGAAGTGGCAACGACGCTCGCAGGGGCAGCGGGGGCAGCGCAGGGGGGTGCGGACTGGGCAGGGCAGAACGCGGGTTCGGTCGGATAAAACAAAATCAGCAGGCAGGTCAAGCAGGAGAGTGTAGAGAGACGAGAACCACCCACCCCACCCCATCCCACCGCCAGTAGGGCAGGTAAAACTTTATTTTCCCAAATTTGCTGGTTAAACTGTCTCCGGTCCGGTGCTGTTCCGTGCCGAACGGTGCCTGGCTACTTCTTGACGTGAGATGCGGCGCGTCCATCTCAGCTCTACATGGGGGAAACTCCTGCGGCGCGACCGAACCCAAACCTGGCTGCCTTACCTGTGCCAACCAAGCAGGTCCAGGTGACGGTGACATTTTACCCATTTACAAATGTTTACAAAAAAAACCCCACTTTCTCTGGCTACCCAGAACGCTTGCGAAATGCTATAGTGAGTCTGGCGAAGTGCCTGAAGCATCTTTGAGACCACCTCTCGCTGGACACCAACCACTGTCTCACAACAGGCTGAACACACCTGCCCAAAACTCATCTTCCGGGAAGTGTGACAGCGAGAACTCCGTCATTCCAGATTTTGGTTTGGGAGTGGTTCGGGCCACGACAGCAGGGGGTGTGGCTTGCAAGCAGTCAAAGCCCTCATTCTTGCGTGGAGATATTACAGCCAATCAGGTAGTGACGTAAAGCTTGTGGTTGTCGGTGGGGGTGAGTCAGCTCTGACAGCACCCTGGCCAACCAGCATGATTTTGCGCTGTGTCGGCCCTCTGAGAAGTTTCTAGAAGTGGTGCCTCAGGATCTGGTTACCCGAACCAATATTCCTGACGAGATTTGTTAGCACATCCTTGCAGCTGAGCTGTCACACTTCCATTCGGTTCTGCCCACTCCCCAACCCCCTTTCCAGATCACTCCAAGAGACCTGTACACCTTAGCTCACACCTCGCTGAAACACTCGCGGTTCGTGAATCTACGAAATGCACGATCAAGCAGTTACATCAATAAGGTGCTGGCGAAGATCCTTGTGCCAGAGTCTTCCAGAAGGAGCATTCGCAGATTTCGCGGACCTGGCGAGTTCATGGAAATGCGAATGCATCTTTCTTGCTGATGTCAGCATCCTAGGGAATTTCTGCCTGCCTGGCCTTTTCAGGAATAGGAGAAGAAGCAAATCGATTTCTTCAACCCAGCATCACACAAATCTCAAGGGTGTTGGAGGCATTCAGAAAGCCAGGAACAACAATTTCCGCTGGTAGATAGAAACCAGAAAGCCAGATAGATCTGACTGGAGATCCCAAGCCATGGCTGCCGTTCACCACCTCCAGTCTGCTGTTGCGTCGGCTTTTCCCAGCATCCGCACGCCACTCCGTGCTGCTGCTAGGCAGCTGCATTCGGCGTCGTTCGCCGGATGCAAGGCTGCTAAGCTCAGCCAAGCCTCTCCGCTGCAGTCAGAATTCCTGGGCTCTGGTTTCAATGTACGGTGACTTCTGCCTCTCAAATTTATGTTGGCCTTCAAGGGGGATGCCATTCCGTAAAATAGCATCTGGAATGGTTTCGAAATGGTTCTGACTAGCATTTTGAATGGTTTTGAACTCGATTTTACGATCTGTGTGTCCACTGTTCAGGCAGCTCCTGCTCAACTGAACGCGAATGCATTCGCGAGGAGGTCAGCGTTTTTGTTCTTGAGACATCTCAAATATAATCATACGATTTATGCATCCCCTCTGATCAGGCCGCTCCTGCTCAGCTGAGCGCGAATGCATTCGCGAGGAGCTCAGCGAGCTCCACCGGCGCTCGTGCGTCTGCTGACGTGGAGCAGCTGCGTGGCGCCAGGGACGAGATCAAGGAGCTCATCAAGAGCAAGTACTGCAACCCCATCCTGGTACGACGGAAGTGGTGTCTTCTCATTCGTGCGTCGTGCCAGGGACGAGATCAAGGAGCTCGTCAAGGGCAAGTACTGCAACCCCATCGTGGTACGAGAATGCTATTATTTCATCCTTGAGTAAAGTAATGTTGCTGAAACTGTTACTCACTGAGAGCAGCCGCGAGGAGCCAGGGACGAGGTCAAGAGACGCATCAAGAGCTAGCACTGTAACCCTATCCTGGTAAACAATTGCTGGTTTTTGCAATGTCGCGCGAATCGTTGCTCACTAGGATCAGCTGTAGGAGCCAAGGACGAGATCAAGAAGCTCGCCAAGAGCAAGTACTGCAACCCCATCCTGGTTCGAGAACGCGTTTATTTCATCATAGAGTAAAGAAATGTTGCTGAAACTGTTGCTCACTAAGAGCAACTGCGCGGGGACAAGATCAAGACGCTCATCAAGAGCAAGCATTGCAACCCCATCCTGGAGCATTGCTGGTACGCAATTGCTGGTAATCAACCGCAATTGCTGCAGTGAAACTGTACCGGAATCAGCTTGGTTGTACGAAAATGGCGTCAGCAGTGGCAAAGGGTTAACAAGAGGTGTTTTAGTTCTGTCCTCCCCATCTTTACCACGTCTACGTGCCTACGAGTGGCCCACGGCTTGTGACGTTGATACACTAGACCGCAACTGCCACTTCTCTCCCTCTCCTCCCCCCCCCCTTCTTCTCCTCTCTCCCCTCCCCTTCCGCAGCTCCTTCCCGTGTCTCTTCATAGATCCGTCTGGGCTGGCACGACGCCAGCACATACACCAAGAGCATCTCCGAGTGGCCCATCCACCTCCCCCCCCACTTCTCCCCTCTCCCCTCCTCCTCAACTTCTTCCCGTGTCTCTTCATAGATCCGTCTGGGCTGGCACGACGCCGGCACGTACACCAAGAGCATCTCCGAGTGGCCCAAGGCAGGTGGCGCGACCGCCAGCATCCGCTTCAAGCCCGAAATCGAGCATGGCGCCAATGCAGGTACGAACCGACTCTGCAGGGTGTTTTTGAACCACCCTGCAAAAACACCCTGCAAAATCGAGCATGGCGCCAACGCAGGTGTGAACCGACTCTCGTTTATAGTAAGCGACTCTCGAGGCGCCTCCAGCGGCGCCAATTCCAGCTTCGGCTTCTAGCCCGAAATCCAGCACGGCGCCAACGTCGGTACGGCCCTTATGGGGCGACACTCGTAGCAGCGAATCACTTTTGAGGTGCGCCAAAAGTCGCCACTGCCAGCACCCGCTTCTAGCTCGAATTCGAGCATGGCATGGCGCCAACGCAGGTACGCATTGGCGATCTACACAAGGCGCTTCCTATTCTTATGCCGCTTTTCCTGGCCTGTTCCACGCCACTCTCCTGTCTGCTGACACTGACACTTGACCTGTAGAATCCCCCCCTTCCCCACACACACAGGACTCGCTGGGGCCATTGCCCTCCTGGAGCCCATCAAGCAGCGCTACCCCGCTGTCAGCCACGCCGATCTCTGCCAGCTCGCCCCGTATTGACTCTCTCTCATCTGCATCTGTCCTCCCCCCCTCCCTCTCCCCCCTTCCTCCTTCAGGCCTGGCCAGCGCCATCGCCCTCTTGGTGCCCATCAAGCAGAAGTACCCCGCGGTCAGCTACCCTGACCTCTTCCAGCTCGCCCTCGATTACCTCTCTCTGATATGCATCTCTTCTCAAATCCCCTCTCTCCCTCCCCCCTCCTCTCCGTTTCACCCCCAGGTCTGGCCAGCGCCCCCCTGCTGGAGCCCATCAAGCAGAAGTACCCCGCTGTCAGCTACGCCGACCCCTCTGATCTGCCTTCATCCATGCTCCTCCTTCCCCCTCCTTCAGGCCTTGCCAGCGCCATCGCCCTGCTGGAGCCCATCAAGGAGAAGTACCCCGCCGTCAGCTACGCCGACCTCTTCCAGCTCGCCAGCGCCACGGCGGTCGAGGTCCGTGCCTCTCCTCGCAGCCTATGCTCTTGCTGATTCTTAGCGCGCCCTTTTCCACGTCAGCCTCCTTCTGACGCGTGCCAGCCCAGTAGCGCCACACATGGCGAGGGCCGTACCTCATCACCATTCACGTCCGTGGCGCGTGGGAACTCAACTGAGTTTCTAGAGTTCTGAGAAACCACTCGAACCTCCAGCTGTTTTTGAGGCGCCTCAAAAATAGACTCCAACTGTTTTTGAGGCGCCTCAAACGTAGACTCCAACTGTTTCTGAGGCTCCTCAAAAGTAGACTCCAACTGTTTTTGAGGCTGCTCAAATGTAGACTCCAACTGTTTTTGAGGCTCCTCAAAAGTAGACTCAACTGTTTTTTAGGCTCCTCAAAAGTAGACTCCAACTGTTTTTGAGGCGCCTCAAAAACAGACTCCAACTGTTTTTGAGGCTCCTAAAATTAGACTCCAACTGTTTTTGAGGCTCCTCAAAAGTAGACTCCAACTGTTTTTGAGGCTCCTCAAAAATAGATTCCAACTGTTTTTTAGGCTCCTCAAAAATAGACTCCAACTTAGACTCTTCATGCGTGGCGCATGGAAACGTAGCTGAGCTTTTAGAGTTCTGAGAAACCACTCAAACCTCCAACTGGTTCTCCCCAGACACTTGTACGCCAGAGGTGGATGAGAGGGAGAAGCTTGTGCTTCTAGACCCCCTGCCCAGACACTTGTGACTTTTTTATGTCACTTCTTCTGTATCCGTTGATCTGTCAGCTGATCTGTCAGCTCGCAAGGATTCAAGTTCCCCATGAGGTATGGCCGTGTGGACTTTTGTGCGCTCTCTCTGCTCTCTCTGCTCTCTCTGCTCTCTCTGCTCCCTCAGCTCGCAGGAGGCCCCAAGATCCCCATGAAGTACGGCCGGGTGGACGCATCGGGACCCGAGGACTGCACTCCCGACGGCACCCTCCCCGGTATGCCCCCATTCTTCCTGCTTCCCCTCCGCTTCCTCCTCCGATTCCTCCCTCCTCTTCTCCTCCTCCTCCTCCTCCTCTTCCTCCTCCTCCTCTTCCTCCTCCTCCTCCTCCTCCTCCTCCTCCTCCTCCTCCTCCTCCTCCTCCTCCTCCTCCTCCTCCTCCTCCTCCTCCTCCTCCTCCTCCTCCTCCTCCTCCTCCTCCTCCTCCTCCTCCTCCTCCTCCTCCTCCCCCTCCTCTATTTTTCTTGGGGTTTCTTCCTCCAGAACCCACCGTCCTGCTCATCTGCCCAACTTCTTGAAACAAACCCCATTATTCCCCCATTGATCCTCACCCCGCATTGATCCCCATCCGCATCCCGTCCCATCAATCCCCATCTTCTATCGAATTGTCCATCATTCCTCACGCTTATCTCTCGGATACAATTTCTGTTGGCTACGTTCCAACAGATGCCGGCCCACCATCTCCTGCTGACCACCTGCGCAAGGTCTTCTACCGCATGGGGCTCGATGACAAGGTGATTACACAGCAGCGTGATTATGCAAGGTGGTTATACATTCTGTGACCATGCAGGGCAAGGTGTTATAAAGGGGAAGGTCTTCTACCGCATGGGGCTCGATGACAAGGTGTGATTATATACAGTGGCGTTGTTTTGGGGGGAACAGGTGTGATAAGGGACAGGGCGTACTACCGCATGGGGCTCGATGATCGGTTAAGGGGAATCGTACCGGCATAAGCTGTAACATGGTAACCTGTTACAGTGGGAACCATATCCTTCTGTTCCGCATCCTTCTGTCCTCTCCCTCGTGGAATCTATTCGTTGCCTTTTCTGGAGGTGCTTATCTAAGCACGTAGGCTCCTCATGAGTTGGCTTAGATAACTCCCATTCACGTCTTCCCCGCCTTGCCTCACCGCAGGACATCGTTGCCCTCTCTGGAGCACACACACTGGGTCGCTCCCGGCCGGAGAGGAGCGGATGGGGCAAGGCAGAGACCAAGTACACGGTGAGTGTCAGGAACGCTGGGGGTGGGTGGTGGTGGCGCTGGCTGCTTCTTAGACACCTTAAGGAGCGGATGGGTCAGGGCAGAGACCAAGTACACGGTCAGTTGCGAGGGACGCTGGGGGTGCTGATATTGATCCTTCCTTTACTCCTTACTCTCGTTTTCCTTCTCTTCCCTTCGTGCTCGCATTCACACTTTACTGCCTGACTCTCTCTGCACCTCCCCTCCTCCCTCCCCTCACTCCCTCTGCCCCTAACCCCCTCTCAGAAGGACGGCCCTGGCGAGTCTTTTTTAGGCACCAAAAAAATGGACTCTCTCTGCACCTCCCCTCCTCCCTCCCCTCACTCCCTCTGCCCCTAAACCCCTCTCAGAAGGAAGGCCCTGGTCTCCCTGGCGGCCAGTCCTGGACTGTGGAGTGGCTTCGCTTCGACAACTCCTACTTCCGGGTGAGCCACCCCCCGTTCCGTCTTCTCCCTCTTTCCTTCCACTCTCCTCCTCCTACTTCCGTTCTCATCTGACTTCTGAGTCGACTCACCATGCCTTTTGAGTCGACTCGAATCTCCTACTTCCGGGTGAGTTGGGCCTCCGTTCCATCTTCTCCCGCTTTCCTTCCACTTGTCTCCTCCTGCGTGTGTCCAGCCGTGCAGTATCTGGTCCGTTCCTTGCATCTGGTCTGTCCAGAATCTGGGCTTTCATGCTGGCTAGATGCTGTCCGCCTGGCCAGATGCTGTCCGCCTGGCCAGATGCTGTCCGTCTGGCCTCAAAACGGGCTGTATGGCCCTACCCTAGATACGCTTTGCGCTGGTGTTTCTGGAGAGCAGTCGTGGACCACGGAGTCCCCTCCCTCGCGGCAGAGGTGTTCCCCCTGCGATTCGACAACTCTCTCTTTGAGACCACCTGGTTTTTGAGAGTTCTCAAAGGTTCTCTACGGTCTCTTTTAGGTCACCGAGCGATTTTGAAGCCACTCCCCCGGGTTCATGGATGCGGGGGAGCAGGGCGGGGTGTCCATCCAGAGAAGCGACTGTGACTCCACACCACATGCATCCACGCCCCGCTCCGCCCCACCCCGCCTTACTCCCCCGCATCACACCCCTCCCTTCAGGACATCTAGGAGAAGACTGACGCTGACCTCCTGGTGCTCCCAACCGACGCGGCTCTGTTCTAGGACCCCGTAACCTGAGGTGCTCGCAGAGAAGTAGTGACCCAAGCAGTGTTCTACCTAATTCCACTGCCCCTCCCACCAGGACATGAAGGAGAAGACTGATGCTGACCTCCTGGTGCTACCCACCGATGCAGCTCTGTTCGAGCACCCCCGGTACAAGGTGCATCCTTAGAACAATGCAGCGGCAGGGACTCAACGTGTATGCACATACTCCCACTCATCTCACCCCTCCCACCAGGACATCAAGGAGAAGACCGATGCTGAGCTGCTCATGCTGCCTACTGACGCAGCTCTCTTTGAGGATGCGGGGTTCAAGGTGCATGCTGAGAAGTATGCCGAGGTAGCAATGCTAACGAAGGGCTCTCAACACACCGTGTTCCCCCATCAGCACATCAAGCAGAAGACTGACGCTGAGCTGCTGGTGCTGCAAACAGACGCTGCTCTGTTGGGGTTCACGGTGCACGCGGAGAAGTATGCAGCGACAGAGGTAGCAATTGTTGTGCCGCGACTTGAAATTAAATCTATTCCCCCCTCATCCCGCATACCAGGACATCAAGGAGAAGACTGACGCTGAGCTGCTGGTGCTGCCCACTGACGCAGCTCTCTTCGAGGATGCGGGCTTCAAGGTGCATGCGGAGAAGTACGCTGCGGACCAGGCAGCCTTCTTTGCTGACTATGCTCAGTCGCACAAGAAGCTGAGCGAACTGGGAGCGAAGTTCGACCCTCCCCAGGTGAGGCGCTAGGCAATGCTACCCACTGATGGTGACTGGGGGAATGGGGGGGGGTTTAAGATGTACGCGGAGAAGTACGCTGCAGACCAGGCGGCTTTCTTTGCTGACTATACTCAGTTGCACAAGAAGCTCAGCGAATAGGGAGCCAAGTTCGACCCCCTGCAGGTGAGATATTTCCAAGGGTAGCCCATTTGACCCTCCCTCAGACTTGACATTCTCCAGGTAAGAGATTCCCCAGCTGAGAACCCTAGCCAGGTGGGAGACGGGTTTTGGCCGGACTTGAAGCAACCCTTCAAACAACGTGCATGCTGAGAAGTATCTTCTTTCTGAGGCTGGGATACGCCCTTCTAGGCTCCTATTTTAGTACACCTGTTTTGCGCAACTTGCACTTGGTTTTCTCTTGCGGTCTTGTTCTAATCACCTGATCTCCGTTGGACCCCTTGTATTGTGCTCTACTGTACTTGCAGGGTGTGACCCTCGACTAAACTAGTGCAGCACCAGACTTGCGGTGTTTGGTTGCGAATGACCAACTGCCAGCTCTTGTACTGTTTCCGATTTTGCATGGCTTGGTTTTGTCAGACGTGGCTTCAAGATTATATTCCCGATTGAAAAATGTACCAAGCACAGCTGGAGGTGCACCAAGATGCTACCATATGCCAGACTTTTGAACCTTATTTTTTAAAAGGGGAAATTTGTGACATGAACATGACTTCTGCCCCATATCATACAGGCCACCATGCAATGCATGTGCCCCGCATAGGTTTGCTGCGGATCAAACACTGCTTGCCCCCCGTCCTAAGTGTACAATCTCCGTGCTCGATTCAAGGTGGCTTCCACCAATCGGAAGAGGTGAGGCTGCTCTGCTTCCACCCGCTCCAATGGCATCGCCTCGTGAGCTTCCGCCTGCAAAACGAGGGAGGGGGTGGGAAGAGGGAGTGGGGAGAGGGAGGGAGTGGGGAGAGGGAGGGAGTGGGGAGAGGGAGGGAGTGGGGAGAGGGAGGGAGTGGGGAGAGGGAGGGAGTGGGGAGAGGGAGGGAGTGGGGAGAGGGAGGGAGTGGGGAGAGGGAGGGAGTGGGGAGAGGGAGGGAGTGGGGAGAGGGAGGGAGTGGGGAGAGGGAGGGAGTGGGGAGAGGGAGGGAGTGGGGAGAGGGAGGGAGTGGGGAGAGGGAGGGAGTGGGGAGAGGGAGGGAGTGGGGAGAGGGAGGGAGTGGGGAGAGGGAGGGAGTGGGGAGAGGGAGGGAGTGGGGAGAGGGAGGGAGTGGGGAGAGGGAGGGAGTGGGGAGAGGGAGGGAGTGGGGAGAGGGAGGGAGTGGGGAGAGGGAGGGAGTGGGGAGAGGGAGGGAGTGGGGAGAGGGAGGGAGTGGGGAGAGGGAGGGAGTGGGGAGAGGGAGGGAGTGGGGAGAGGGAGGGAGTGGGGAGAGGGAGGGAGTGGGGAGAGGGAGGGAGTGGGGAGAGGGAGGGAGTGGGGAGAGGGAGGGAGTGGGGAGAGGGAGGGAGTGGGGAGAGGGAGGGAGTGGGGAGAGGTAGGGAGTGGGGAGAGGGAGGGAGTGGGGAGAGGTAGGGAGTGGGGAGAGGGAGTGGGGAGAGGGAGTGGGGTGAGGGAGTGGGGAGAGGGAGCGTGAAAGAGAATGAGGGTGAACGACAGTGTAGAGCACAACGCACAATCGGAAGAGGTGAGGCTGCTCTGCCTCCACCTGCTCCAATGGCATTACCTTGTGAACCTCGGCCTACAGACGAGTGAAATTCGGAAAAGTGTCGTGCACGGGCACATTCAAGATGGCAGGGGCAAAAGAAACGCCAAGGGGCAGACTTGACAATACATCGGTGATTTTTTAGTCGACTAAAAAATCACCTGAGGGGCAGACATGACAATAGATCAAGGCCCTTTTGGATTGGGTTACCATAAAAAGGAGAATAGGCTTAATTATCCAGGAAAAAACCAGTGGGACTTCACAGAAATTCCTGAGCCATGTCGAAGTATGGTGCAAACCCAATGCTAGGTTGAACACCATCAGACGTGAGAAGGCTGAGAGTGTCTTGTGGCTTTTGGATCGACTCAAAATTATTCTGAAAAGTCCAACAGAGCTGTACAAATTCGTTAAAATAAAAGTAAAAATGTGTAGGATGGATGCGCTACGTACCTCGTCAAATGTGAGAAGAACGAGATTGTCTATGGTGGGAGGGAGGGATGCCTTCCACCTGTGATCCAGCCGCCACAGGAGGGAGGGGGGAAATAGAAGTCTGTATGCGCACTAGGATGTGGCTGGGGTGCCAAACGTGAGAAGGATGGGGTTGTCTATGGTGAGAAGGAGGGATGCATTCCACCTATGGTATGTGCAATAGAACCACCACGTGAGGGAGTAGAGAAGAGAAGAAGAAACATTTCACAGTTAGATGGGAGCATGCACAGACATCTTAGAACTTGGCTAGGGTATGAGCCGCACAAACGTGGATAGGGGCAGAGGCGAAAAGGAGGACAACAAAAGTGAGAAACGAAACCGTAAACGAAATCAGCAACCACAGATAACCCATCAGCATACCTAGTGAGAGCCAAGCCATGTCGTACCTAGTGAGAGCCAAGCCATGTCGTACCTAGTGAGAGTCAAGCCATGTCGTACCTAGTGAGAGTCAAGCCATGTCGTACCTAGTGAGAGTCATGCCATGTCGTACCTAGTGAGAGTCAAGCCATGTCGTGCCTAGTGAGAGTCATGCCATGTCGTACCTAGTGAGAGTCATGCCATGTCGTACCTAGTGAGAGCCAAGCCATGTTGTACCTAGTGAGAGTCATGCCATGTCGTACCTAGTGAGAGCCATGCCATGTCGTACCTAGTGAGAGTCATGCCATGTCGTACCTAGTGAGAGCCATGCCATGTCGTACCTAGTGAGAGTCATGCCATGTCGTACCTAGTGAGAGTCATGCCATGTCGTACCTGGTGAGAGCCATGCCATGTCGTACCTAGTGAGAGTCATGCCATGTCGTACCTAGTGAGAGTCATGCCATGTCGTACCTGGTGAGAGCCATGCCATGTCGTACCTAGTGAGAGTCATGCCATGTCGTACCTAGTGAGAGTCATGCCATGTCGTACCTAGTGAGAGTCATGCCATGTCGTACCTAGTGAGAGCGATGCCATGTCGTACCTAGTGAGAGTCATGCCATCATCATAGCATACCTAGTGAAAGTAATGCCATCATCATAGCATACCTAGTGAGAGTCATGTGACCCATAGACCGCCAGATTGCACGGCCAACATCCATTCCTCTTCCCCCCCCTCCACCACTACCACCAGCATCACTACCACCACCAGCATCACTACCACCACCAGCATCACCACCACCATTACCAACACCACCATTCCCAACAGCAGCAGCTTTCATGGCCCGTTTTCTACGCTCCCCCTTCTTCCCCTGCCGCTGCTTCGGGCCTTCCTCCTGTCCCTTCCATCCGTGCTCCTGTATCTCATCCCCTATCCTCTCCCCCCCCTTCCTCTGCTCTTCTCGTTGCTCCTCTGCCACTTCACCATCTCCCAGCTTCTGCTCCTGAATGCCCCCTTCTTCCTCTCTCTGCTCTCCCTGTTTCTCCCCCTCCCCCTCTCCATTCTTCTCCGCCTCTGCTTGCGCGGCTTCACCCCCACCCTGTCCCGACTGGCTGAGAAGAAGGTTCCTCGCAGCTTCCTTCTCTCGGAGGAGCTGCCACGCGCTGCGGCCGCGCCACACCTCGCGCACCACAAACATGACGTCATCCAGGTCCACCTGGGGTGGGTGCCACATGCACAGGGATATGCACAGGGATATGGGCACATCAGACACAACTGCTATTTCACGCCACAGCTCTCGGACCAGAAACATGACACCGGGGGTGTGTTACAAGCATGCACATGTGCACATGGAGAGGCACATACACCGGCACATGCTGGAATTGATCTGCACATGGAGATACACGTGCACACGTGGATAGGCACATGCACAAGCACATGTTGTGTTGATCTGCACATGGAGATACACATGTGCACATGGATAGGCACATGCATAAGCACATGCTGTGTTGATCTGCACATGGAGATACACATGTGCACATGGATAGGCACATGTATAAGCACATGTTGTGTTGATCTGCACATGGAGATACACATGTGCACATGGATAGGCACATGCATAAGCACATGTTGTGTTGATCTGCACATGGAGATACACATGTGCACATGGATAGGCACATGCATAAGCACATGTTGTGTTGATCTGCACATGGAGATACACATGTGCACATGGATAGGCACATGCATAAGCACATGTTGTGTTGATCTGCACATGGAGATACACATGTGCACATGGATAGGCACATGCATAAGCACATGTTGTGTTGATCTGCACATGGAGATACACATGTGCACATGGATAGGCACATGCATAAGCACATGTTGTGTTGATCTGCACATGGAGATACACATGTGCACATGGATAGGCACATGCATAAGCACATGTTGTGTTGATCTGCACATGGAGATACACATGTGCACATGGATAGGCACATGCATAAGCACATGTTGTGTTGATCTGCACATGGAGATACACATGTGCACATGGATAGGCACATGCATAAGCACATGTTGTGTTGATCTGCACATGGAGATACACATGTGCACATGGATAGGCACATGCATAAGCACATGTTGTGTTGATCTGCACATGGAGATACACATGTGCACATGGATAGGCACATGCATAAGCACATGTTGTGTTGATCTCACCACAAACGTGACCCAAACCGCATCTCTTCCCTGTCAACAAGCCTCTGGTGCAGCAGCGAGTAATGGTCATCTTAGGGTGCCTGTAAGTTGAAACCCCGCCCCTGAACACACACTCCCATTCCCCCCTTCCCCAACACACTCACCTCAATCTGTTGTGCCGACCCCAATCTCATCTCCTCCCTATCAACAAGCTTCTGGTGCAGCAGCGAGTAATGGTCCGCACTAAGTCTCTCATGCCTGCGTATATACTCACACACGCACACTCACATCTACTTCGCTTGCCGGCCCGAACCGCATCTCGTCCCTCTCCACCAGCCTCTGGTGCAGCAGCGAGTAATGGCCATTCCACGGTGGCACACGATCCACTCACCCATACACCCACGCACCTCCACCTGTTGTGCCAACCCAAACCGCATCTCCTTCCTCTACACCAGCCTCTAGCCCAGCAGCGAGTAATGGTCCGCACTAAGCCTCTCTCTCCTGCAGATGCTCACACACACACACACACACACTCACCTCTACTGCACTTGCCGACCCAAACCGCATCTCCTCCCTCTCAACAAGCCTCTGGTGCAGCAGCGAGTAATGGTCCACACTTAGTCGCAACACAGGTTCGAACCCCACATCCATTCCGGCCAATGAGGTGACGACACGTGTCGCCAGAGCCAAGCCGAACATGGCTGGGATGGTCCCGAGGACTGGAATGACTCTTACACGGAAGCCTGGGACCACCTGTAACGAGTATGATTGGGGAATTGCAGAGGGGAAAAAAACAATTCAATAAACGAGAATGGAAATGTGAAAAAGGAATACCCCTATTTACAATCAATAAATGTAAACCTGAGAAATGGAGATTGGCTTCAATTTCAGTTGGCTTCGAAAGCAATGCCACTAGTCCAGTTTGCTGCTATTTCCAGCTGCTGCCGAACCTCCAGATGACAAACCTCCTGCTGCCGAACCTCCAGATGACAAACCTACTGCTGCCGAACCTCCAGATGACAAACCTCCTGCTGCCGAACCTGATGCTTCCGGTGCTGCTGAGGGTAAAGAATAAGTCAGTCTGATTCCACCAGATTCTCCTTGAAGGACACAAACCACCTTAGAACCACCTGAAAACCACCTGAACTGCACCTGGAGGTCGGCAGGCTGCAAGGAGTCATCCGCAACCGGCAGCAGCTTGGCCTTGGGGCGGTCGAGAGAAAACACCGCCTCCACTGCTGCTGCTGCCCCCAGCGCCTTGCGCAAGCGCTGCCGCACCTGCAGGGATGCATGGGATGGTGAAGAGTTGATCTATATATACATATGTTATATATATATATATATGTATATATATATATATACGTTCGTATACATATGTACACCCACATGTTCGACAATGTAATGGAATGGTCGTGACACAAAGAGAGAGCGAGAGGGGAGGGGGGGAAGCTAGGGCAGGGACAAGGACGAAGGTTGGAGGATGAAGATTGCAGGGGGAAGGCTGGGGGGGGGAGGTTGGGGGGGAAGGCTGGGGGGGGGAAGGTTGGGGGGGAAGGTTGGGGGCAGAAGGTTGGGGGCGGAAGGTTGGGGGCGGGGAGTCACCGCATGCGAGAGCGGGTCGATGGACGGCTCGCTGATGTGATGTCGGTGCAGAGGCAAGCACAGCTCATGGCAGAGAAGGAGAGAAACGGACGAAGGGTTGGGTGTAGGGAGGGGAAGTGCAATACAAGGCCATATTGAGGGTCAGGGGGAGGGGGCAGTCACCGCACGCGAGAGCGGGTCGATGGACGACTCGCTGATGTCGGCAATTCGGATTCGAGTCGGGTCGGCCCGGGCCCCTGCTCCCATGGCGCTGATGACAGGCAGCCCGCGGCGCACACAGGCAGAGAGGAGGGCCACCTGCAGAAAGGCCAAGGGAAGCAAGGTGTGGGGAACAAATGGGTAGACGAGTTAGAGGTCCCTAACGCACGGGCCCCTGCCTGCTCCCATGGCGCTGCTGACAGGCAGGCCGCGGCGCACACAGGCCGAGAGGAGGGCCACCTGAAAAATGAAGGGGGGGGAAGGTGAAGCGAAGGAGGGGGGGGGTAGGAAGGTGAAGGGAAGGAGGCGGGGGGGGCAGGTGAAGGGAAGGAGGGGGGGGGGAAGGTGAAGGGAAGGAGGGGGGGGGGCAGGTGAAGGGAAGGAGGGGGGGGGGGGAAGGTGAAGGGAAGGAGGGGGGGGGGGGAAGGTGAAGGGAATGAGGGGGGGGGGGGAAAGTGAAGGGAAGGAGGCGGGGGGGGAGGGGGAGGGGGGAGGGGGGGGGGAGAAGATAGACAAAAATGGCCTTCAGTTGGACATAACATCTTCCCAAAGCACCAATGACAGGCGGACTCTGTTGCACGCAAGGTGGCTTCTGGGTTGACTCACAAGTCACCTTGGTGTGTTGGGGGCATAGTACGGTAGTACCTCTCCCAACCCAAGGCACGACAGGCCAACTCAAAGACATACTCTGTGAAAATGAGAAAAACAGGCTGTGTCTGTCATTAGGGCCTTTTTGAGAATTGTAAAAAATACCCAGACATCTGTGGCAAACTCACCAGATGCAGGTATGCTCACCAGAATTGGAGGCTTCCCCTGGTTGCCTTAAGTTTCCCATGGTGATCTTCAAGGTGTTTTTGAGAATTCTAAAAAGCACCCTGCGTATGCATGCACATGGCACAGAAGCTGAAGACTTAAATCGATTTGATTCGATTTGATTCGATTCGATTTGGTTTGATTCAGACCTTGGTGTCGATGTTGTCGATGCAGTCCACAACATAGTCGGGCTGCCCGGACAAAACTTTCTCCTCGTTTTCCTCGTTGTACATCGCAACCATCCCCTCCACCTGAGCTTCGGGCAGGATGCGAAGGAAATGCTCCCGCATGCACTGCGCCTTGGAGATTCCGACATCTGCCCGGGTGGCGACAGCGTGGCGATTGAGGGAGGAAAGCGACACCTGCAAGAGCGGGGTGAGGGGCGGAGGGGAAGGAGGTGAGGGGAGGAGATGGCTGGGGAACAGCACGTGTGGCAACAGCGTGGCGGTTGAGGGAGGACGGGAGTGGCACCTGCAAGGAAAGGGGGTGAAGAAAGAGGAAATACTTCCTCATACACTGCACTGCGCCTTGGAGATCCTGGAGATTCCGACATCTGCCCGAGTGGCGACAGCATGGCGATTGAGAGACGAAAGCGACACCTGCAAATTTGTTTGGGGGGGGAGGGGGGGGGGGGAGGGAGGGGAGAACGGGGTGAGGGGAGGGGGTGGTTGGGAGAAGTTGGGAGTCAACTTGCATCTGCCCGGGTGGCGACAGCGTGGCGATTGAGAGACGAAAGGGACACCTGTAAGAGCGGCGGGGAAGTGGGTGGGCGAGGGGGGAATACCGGAAGGGGTACAAAAAAAGGGAGGATGGTGAAGGTTTTGAGTGACTGCGAAAAATGTATATTTCTGAGGCGCCTATTTCTGAGGCACCTATTTCTGAGGCACCTATTTCTGAGGCGCCTATTTCTGAGGCGCCTATTTCTGAGGCGCCTATTTCTGAGGCGCCTATTTCTGAGGCGCCTATTTCTGAGGCGCCTATTTCTGAGGCGCCTATTTCTGAGGCGCCTATTTCTGAGGCGCCTATTTCTGAGGCGCCTATTTCTGAGGCGCCTATTTCTGAGGCGCCTATTTCTGAGGCGCCTATTTCTGAGGCGCCTATTTCTGAGGCGCCTATTTCTGAGGCGCCTATTTCTGAGGCGCCTATTTTCAGGCGCCTCATAAATAGACTCCTCACGCGGGCACAAAGGGAGGACGGTGAAGGTTTTGAGTGACTGCGAAAAATGCCAAGGGCGACCTGAGTCAAAACGAGCCAACATGAGTCAACGGTACCTGGTCAAAGTCAACTAGTCCCAGCTGGCCAACACCGCATCTCAGCAGGGCAGCTGCAGCGTGACTGCCCACCCCCCGCAGCCCCACCACCACCACGAACGCTGCCTAGTTGAACTTGAGCCAACCCCAGTGAACCTGGGTCAACGCGGGTAAGCGGTACCTGGTCAAAGTCAACGAGTCTCAGCTGGCCAACGCCGCATCTCAGAAGGGCAGCAGCGGCGTGGCTGCCTACCCCTCCCAGTCCCACCACCACCACAAACGCTCGGTGCACCGCCAGCTGGCCGGGCAGCCCAAACATTTGAATGTTCCTGACCAGCAGCAGCAAAGGGTAGGGGGAAGGTGAAGGGCAGAAATGGAGGGAAAAGGGGAGAAGGGGGGGAAGGGGGGGAAGGGGGGGAAGGAAGACAGAGAAGGGGGAGAGTGAAAGGTTTCGGCGAAAAGAGGGGGTGTTAACAAATGTTTGCTACTTGAGAATGATAAAACTGTGCAACTTTGGGGTTACCTGGTAACACAACAAAGTAGCGTACCTGGTGAACTGTTCAACGATGATGTCATCATCAGCAGCTGCCAGGCTGGCAAGATCCATGCCATCCACTCCACCATTGCCACGTGTCACGCCACCTTCTGGTTCCTGACCGCTCACACCGTGTTGCGGAGGAAAAGATTGTTCTGTGGCAGCGGGTGATGTGTCAGCACCAGGTGATTCTTCAGGTGGTTTCAGGTGCTGCTCCAGGTGCTGCTGCGGCTGCTGAGGATGATGATGCAATAGCTGCTCTTCCGCTGCTGCACGCTGTACAGAGGCCAGACTCGCATGTCCATCGCCATGCCTGGAAGGAAAAGGAAGGAAGATAAGGGAAGGAGGGAACGGAATACACCTGCTAGATTAGGTTTGGTAACAACAGCATACATGCAGCAGAAACCCAACGCCTGGAGAGGCAACCCAACGGAGAAATCCTCGAGAATTGCTTCAGAATTGAAAGAATGCGGAATGACGTGCGAGTAACTCCCTCCTCCGCAGGCGGTTACAGCGCGAGACAGACGGAATGCGATCATGCGATTATGCGATTATGCGATTATGCGATTATGCGATTATGCGATTATGCGATTATGCGATTATGCGATTATGCGATTATGCGATTATGCGATTATGCGATTATGCGATCATGCGGCTAAACCGGGAACGCAAGAATCGCGCTGGGATTTGAATTCGACCAGAAATTAGCAAGCATACGCCGTCCCGAAGCAGATACTAACGTGATTTCAGGCGGCTCGTCGGCGGAGTAGGCGGAATAGAGCTTCCAAGCGCAAAGCGCTGCGCACGACCCGGCAGCAGCTCCCAGGGCGAAGGTCGCCCACGGCGTCCTAAAAAGACGCATGGCGAATAGCGAGTGCTACACAAACGAGGACATCCTAGCCATTGCCATCGAGGCGGCCTACCAGCGCCCGAGCGACTGAGTGAGCTCCAGCGGACCAATAGGAGCGTGGAAAGTGGCAGCAGGAGGAAGAGAGAAGGCACTGCGTCACCACGGTTGGATAAATTTTTCTTTTCGGGTGAAGGAGACTTGTTAAGGGCACTGCAACGACAGCCCAAGAAAATCTTGGGTGCGTGGGAAAAGTGTGTGCTGGAGGTGAGGGGTATCGATCCCCTTACCTATCGCATGCGAAGCGATCGCTCTACCATGTGAGCTACACCCCCATGTCGACACACGTCAAATGTTTTTAAAGAACATTGTATTTTGTGAGCTACACCCCCTTGTGTCGTAATTTATTAGTCTTACATTTAGTTTATGCTTCTGTATATTCACTGTACTGTTGCAGCCCGTTTCATACTGTGCGTCGTCAGCTTCAAGATCGCTCGTTTTGATTGAGTGATCCACACGCACGTCCCGTCTCGGAGCGAGCTTTCAAGGCCTTGTCAGTTCTCAGTTCCCTTTGCCTCATGTAGCCTTGTGATCATGTTGGTCATTGGACCTTGGGAACTCCGCAACACCTGCTGAGCCAGCCTAGTCTCGCACTGGCCAAGGCTGGAATCCGGGTACTGTAGATCGCTCCTATTCCCGTCTGGAGTAGACTGGCTTCTGATCGTCAGATTTAGATAGAGCGAGACTGTGTTGTGTACACTGGAGTCAGCTGTGGATGGATGTTGTATGGGAGTGATTTCAACACCCTGAAAACCGGGTACTAGTAGATAGCAGTTCCGAGAACGGTCGTTGGCCGAGAGCGGGCAGATCGGAAAGGGTTGCGGCAGGTCGAGAGGAACACTGATCGTGATCGCGATTAAATGCATGTGAAGTGATCCAAAGTAGTACCTTTCTGCAAAAGGGATCTGGTCGGCCTAGGAAGGAGTCTCGCAGTACGACGGCGACGGACGGCTGACAGGAAGAGAAAGCTCGCGAGAAGGAAAGCTGACGGAGAACGTAAGCTGACGGAAACGGAGGAGGCATTTTGAGTGGACTGAAAAGCTGACGGAAACGAAGCAGGCGTCGCAGCATGGCGGATGGCAGCCCCGTCGGCTCAACGGCGAGCGATTGCGGCTTTTGGTGTCTGGTTACCAGTCGTCGGTTAGCCGAGGCTGTTTCGTCACTGGCAAAGCCGAGAGAGGTCGTGCTGCGACCCAAGGAGGAGCAGGATCTGGTGGGGTTCGGATGGCGGGAGATCCTTGGATTCAAAGACAAGTCGTCGGGGAATGACGAGCTTGCGGCTGAGACGCATCAGGTGAGGCGAGGCGTGGGTGGTTCGTCTGGTGCTGCGACCCAAGGAGGAGCAGCGGGACCTGGTGGGTTCTGGCAAACAAGTCGTGATGGGCTTGCGGCTGAGACGCTTCAGGTGAGACGTGGGTGATTCGTCTGCTTCGATCCAAGGAGAAGCAAGACCTGGTGGGGTTCGGGTGGCGGGAGATCCTTGGATTGAAAGACAAGTCGTCGGGGAATGACGAGCTTGCGGCTGAGACGCATCAGGTGAGGCGAGGATGATTCGTCTGCTTCGATCAGGTGAGGTCGTGCTGCGACCCTAGGACGAGGAGGATCTGGTGGGGGTCGAAAGACAAGCCGTCAAGTAGTGATGGGCTGGTTCCTGAGACGCATCAGGTGACGCGAGGCGTGGGTGGGTCATCTGATGCTGCGATCCAAGAGGAGCAGGATTTGGTGGGGTTCGGGTGGCGGGAAAGCCTTGGGTTGAAAGAGAAGCCGTCGGGGAATGATGTGCTTGCTGCTGAGGCGCATCAGGTGAGGCGTGGGGGATTCGTCTGCTTCGATCCAAGGAGGAGCAGGACCTGGTGGGGTTCGGGTGGCTGGAAATGCTGGGGTTCAAAGTGAAGCCCTGGGGGTATAATGGGCTTGCTGCTGAGGCGCATCAGGTAGGACCCTGCTGGTATTTCTATGCACTGGCTGGGGGTGTGGAGAGCGGGCGATCTGGGATTGAAAGAGCGGTTGTTGGGGAGTGATGAGCTGGCGAGCTGCTGAGACGCATCAGGAAGGCGAAGCGTGGGTAAGTCATGTGTTGCTGCGATCCAAGAGGAGCAGACTTTTGAGTCGACTCAAACATCACGCAAGGCGAAGCGTGGGTAAGTCATCTGGTGCTGCTATCCAAGGAGGAGCCTGGAGCAGGACCTGGTGGGGTTCGGGTGGCGGGCGGGGCATCCTGGGATTCAAAGAGAAGCCCTCGGGGGATGATGGGCTTGCGGCTGAGACGCATCAGGTGAGGCTTGGTTGGTTTATCTGGTGCTGCGACCCAAGGATGAGCAGCCGGGCCTGGTGGGGTGATTTTTGAGAATTCGAAAAAATTGACCTGGTGTGTGTGTGTGTGGGGCTCTTCACGTGTACTATGCCTTGTGGATCGCTCGTACCTAACCCCTGCTACGTACCTCTACTGTCTGAGATCTTCCTTCCTTGTGCAACATGATCCTGAGTTTCCTTGCCCGCCTCCCCTGGCATCTTCAGGTGTTGTCTGTCACGAATCGTGTGTGAGAGAGGGAGAGGCGGTTAAGACACACACTTTTTCTGCTGTACAGTTGTCCTTCTATCTCCCCTGGCATCTTCAGGTGTTGTCTGTCACGAATCGTGTGTGAGAGAGGGAGAGGCGGTTAAGACACACACTTTTTCTGCTGTACAGTTGTCCTTCTATCTCCCCTGGCATCTTCAGGTGTTGTCTGTCACGAATCGTGTGTGAGAGAGGGAGAGGCGGTTAAGACACACACTTTTTCTGCTGTACAGTTGTCCTTCTATCTCCCCTGGCATCTTCAGGTGTTGTCTGTCACGAATCGTGTGTGAGAGAGGGAGAGGCGGTTAAGACACACACTTTTTCTGCTGTACAGTTGTCCTTCTATCTCCCCTGGCATCTTCAGGTGTTGTCTGTCACGAATCGTGTGTGAGAGAGGGAGAGGCGGTTAAGACACACACTTTTTCTGCTGTACAGTTGTCCTTCTATCTCCCCTGGCATCTTCAGGTGTTGTCTGTCACGAATCGTGTGTGAGAGAGGGAGAGGCGGTTAAGACACACACTTTTTCTGCCGTACAGTTGTCCTTCTATCTCCCCTGGCATCTTCAGGTGTTGTCTGTCACGAATCGTGTGTGAGAGAGGGAGAGGCGGTTAAGACACACACTTTTTCTGCTGTACAGTTGTCCTTCTATCTCCCCTGGCATCTTCAGGTGTTGTCTGTCACGAATCGTGTGTGAGAGAGAGGGAGACGGGTAAAAGACACGCACTTTTTTTGCTGTACGTTTGTCCTTCGAACTCCACTGGCTTCCTCAGGTGTACTATGTGACGAACCGTGTGTGCGAGAGAGTGGACGAGAAGATGGGCCAGGTGTACGGCAAGCTCATGGACAGTGGCTTGCACGTCGGTGTTGTGGATGTAAGTGTGGAAGATGCTTGGAGGGGGTGATGTGGGCGTTAGAGATGCTAAGATTGTGTGTGTGAGAGAGTGGACGAGAAGATGGGCCAGGTGTATGGCAAGCTTATGGACAGTGGCTTGCACGTCGGTGTCGTGGAAGTGAAGGGATGATGTGGATGTAAATGACGGGATAAGGTGGTTGTAAGTGAAGGGATAAGGTGGGTGTAAGTGAAATGGATGATGTGGATGTTGGAGATGCCAAATATGGTGTGTGCGAGAGGGAGGGCGAGAAGATGGGCCAGGTGTACGGCAAGAGCATGGGCAGTGGCTTGCGCGTTGGTGTTGTGGATAGAAGCGAAGGGATACTGCGGTTTCCGTGTGAGCACTATTGGACGTGCGCGATAGGATGCTGTGGATTTCATCGCTTTTGATGTTAGCATTCGAGGAAACCTGCTCTGCTTTTGGACGGGGTGGATCTCCTTTTCCATTGTTTTTTTGTTTTGTTTTTTTGTTTTTTGTTTTTTTTTTCCCCCATTTTTTTCCCCTTTTCAATAGCGCCTCTAGTCCAACCCGAATGTACTCTTGTTTGTCCATTTGATAGATTGTACACTAAGACAAGGACGGGAGTGTTCCCTCCATTTTGTACCATTGATGTCCCTGCAGGTGGACTGTCCGAATGGCAAGCCTCAAGTAAAGCCAGAGGGGCAGCTTGTAACGAGCATGGATGCAGAAGCATTCAAGCAGCGGCTGCGAGAGCATGTGGCTCGGGACGAGAACAAGGCTGTGCTGGTTTATGTGCATGGGTATGTGCATGGGTATGTGCATGGGTGTGTGCATGGGTGTGTGCATGGGTATGTGCATGGGTATGTGCATGGGTTTGTCTTGAGTGTTTGTTTACTTTTGAGGCGCCTCAAAACATGGGTATGTGCATGGGTATGTGCATGGGTATGTGCATGGGTATGTGCACGGGTTTGTCTTGAGTGTTTGTGTACAGTTGTGTCCCAGTCTGTGTCCATTCATGGGTGCTGCTCTTACTTTGGTTCCCTTATTTTTTCTTCCCGCTTTTTTTCGTTCGTTCTTTCTCTCTCTGCAGCTGCTTTACTGATTTCAGCCGGGGCATGGGCTATGGCGCATTCATGCAGGTATGGGAATAAGCAAACAACCTTTTCTCTAATTTTCGCCCGTCTTTCATCTTCTGCTGCTGGGCCAATCGTACTTCTGTAGTGCCTACTGCCCCTACCCATCGTTATCCTCCTCGTCTCCCACCTCCTCCTCTTTTATTCACCTTTAAGGCGGCAGGAAGAAGAATGGGGAAGGGAGAGGGGGGTGGGATTGGAGGGGGAGAGGGAGGGGGAGGGGAAGACGCAGGCTGAAGGAGAGGGAAGGGGACGGAGGAGTGTGTGGTGAGAGCTGTTTAGCGTGCACTCCTATTTCACCCTTGTTTTCACCCTTCCGCCACTGAGACGCCATCCTCTCACACCCACCATGACGTCACCTCTAATGTCCCATCACCAGTGAGGCCTGGAGGTCACGGGGCTCATGGTGGCGTGGTGTACAGCAGGCCCACGGTGGGGCGTCCCCTCGCTCGGTGGTTGATCAACCCACACCGCTCTCAGCCCCCATTCCTCTCCTTCTCCCCCCCTTCCACTTTGTCCCCCCCCTTCCATTTTATCCCCCCCCTGTAACTTCCCCCCTGCGAGGCCTTAATTTCACCGGGCCCTTGGTGTGGTGTACAGCTGGCCCACGGTGGGGCGTCCAATGGGCTGGCAGTGAGTGATGAGCCTTTGGTAATCCGATCCATTTGCCCCCTCTCTCCCCTTTCTCCGCCTTCTCTCCCCCCCCGCATCCCGCTCTCTCTCAACAGCGAGGCCTCCATTTCACGGGCCCCATGGTGGTGTACAGCTGGCCCACAGTGGGGCGTCCAACAGGCTGGGAGTGAGGGATTAACGTTTGCCAATCCGATGCACCGGATTCCCCTCTCTTCCCTTCCACGTCCCCCTTTACCAGCGAGGGCTGGACTTTACGGGGCCCATGGTGGTGTACAGCTGGCCCACGGTGGGGCGGCCGTCTGTCTCAGCGGGGCTGGGAGTGATCAATCTGTACCGCCAAGACGATGTCACTTCCATGCAGGCGGCGCCCGACCTCCGAGTGAGTGGGCTTATCACGTACATATAATTATACAGTGTAAGCTTCAGAGATGGTTTGAGAATCTTCGAGTAGGGACCGTCAGAGGTAACGCGGCTGGGGGCGATCAGCCTGCACCGCCCCGCCAGGATGAGAGCACCTCCATGCAGACCGCGCCTGACCTCAGGGTGAGTCGTCCGTCCAGCACGAGATATGTACTCCTACAGGCCTCGATTACTCCTCTGGGCCTCGATTGCTCCTCTCAGCGGGACTCATCCTGGGGGTCATCAGCCTGTACCGCCAGGACGAGATCACTTCCATGCGGGCTGCCCCAGACCTCAGGGTGAGTCCCATAATATAACACTATATGCATGTATATATATATATATATATATATATATATATAATTTGATTTACTTCCATGCAGGCTGCCCCAGACCTCAGGGTATGGCGTCAGCCATATTACAGTATTAGAAGCCAAGGCAGTGCACATAGTGGCGTTTGAGAGACGTCTCAAAACATGTAGGCTGTCCTGTACCTCCTCAGGGTGAGTCGATTTTTGAGGCGCCTCAAAAAACATGTAGGCTGCCCCATACCTCCTCAGGGTGAGTCCTGCATTCCTGTACAGCTGTATTGCAGTATCAGGAGCCAAGGCAGTCCACGTCATGCATACAGTGTGGGCGGCCGCAGGCTCCTGGAGGACCTCTCTCTCTTCTTGGACCCCACCTTCACCCCCCCCACCCATCCCCCCTCCCCTCCCCCTTGCTCCAGATGCTGTCAACCGAATTAGGGGCCAAGGCGGTCGATGTTATGGCATACCACATGGGGACATGCACGCTGCTAGAAGCTCTTCGGCTCTCTTCCCTCTCACTGGCGGAGCAGGACCCCTTCCATGCGCGCACGGGCGTCACCTCACCTCCCACATCTGCTTCATGGCGCCAGATGTCGCTGCACACTCCTTCCCCCATGGGCGCTCACCATGTTGCTGTTTCCCATTCCCCCCTCCTTCGTTCCCTTGCCCGTTATCACCCCAGGATCTCCTGCAAATGCTGTCAACCGAGCTGGGAGCCAAGGCGGTGCACGTCATGGCGTACAGCATGGGCGCGCGCACGCTCCTGGAGGCTCTTCGCCTCTCCTCCCTCTCGCCCCCGGAGCAGGACCCCTTCCATGAGCGCACGGGCGTCACTTCCCACATCTACTTCATGGCGCCCGACGTCGCCGCACACACCTTCTCGTCTGTGATAAGGGCTTTCAAGTTCCCTGGGCTGGCGTGGGGGGAAAGGGAAGGAAGTGATACGGTGAATGGTTCTGATGGAGACGACAGAGAGGGCTTGGGAGTACGGGAGGGGGTAGGGGGCTTGGTGGTGGGGAAGGGGGAGGGGGTGGGATCAGCTGTTGCTGCTGCTGCTGCAGGAGTGGTGGTCTCAGGGGAGGGGTGTGAAGGGAGAGAGGAAGAGAGGGAGTCTGGAGATTCGGGCTTTGGGCGTTTGACTCTCGTTCAGCAAGTCAAGGCATCATCTCTATCTCAATCATCGTCACCATCGTTGCCATCCCCATCATCATCACCCCCCTCTTCATTGGCCTCCCTCTCCTCTCCCTTCTCCTCTCCCTCCTCCCCTCTATCTCCCTCATCCCACTCTTCCTCCTCTCTTTCTCCCACACCCCAAGAGGCACAATCTCGTATCCCACACACCCCCTCCTCCTCTCACCCCTCCTCCTCTCACCCCTCCTCCTCTCACCCCTCCTCCTCTCACCCCTCCTCCTCTCACCCCTCCTCCTCTCACCCCTCCTCCTCTCACCCCTCCTCCTCTCTCCCTTCCTCCACTTCTCCCCATAGCCACTGTGAGTTAGAAGCTACCAGCAGAGAAAGAGAGGCGCAGAGTCACGATTCAATGATAGAGAGGATCGCTGACGTCTGGAATGTGGCTGGGGAGGGCACGTCAGGCTGGGTGACGCTAAAGCAGGCTTGGCAGGAGGTTCGGGAAAAGGGGCTGATGGAGGTTTGGAACGAGATCTTCCACCCGCCAGGCCTTGCCGAACCAGACAGGCACGGGGGTGCCGAGGCTCAGCCGAGCCGACATGTCGAAGCAGGGAGAGATGGTGGTGCGTGTGATCCTGCGTCGCAGGGAAGACAACCAGAGGGTTTGAGTCAGGGCTGGAATTCAAGAGTGGCTCACGGTAGCAGTACTGTTAGCGAGAGGGCTACTGCGGGTATGAAGGAGGATGCCAAGGCAAGAGAGGAATGTGGGTCTGGTGAGGAAGATTGTGGGTTTAACCCACGTGCTGCTGACTCGTGGCAGTCGGAGGTTGAGAGCTGGGGTAGAGCAGCCAGTGGAGGGGCGAAACGGCCGGTGCCACCATCAATGCCGTTGCCAGCAGAAGGGGTGGCAGCAGTGCCAGCAGAAGGACCAGCAGCAGCAGCGGCAGCAGCAAATCATTCTAAAGGAGGTGTCAGAGGGATGAATGGCCGGGGCTGCACCAGCACGCGGCCAGGAGAGCAGGCTGACACTCAGCCAACAGTGCACAGCATTGCGCTTGCAGGAGCAGCCGAGCAGCCTGAAGGGCACCTGATTGCAGGAGCAGCAGAGCAGCCAGCAGAGCGGACCAACGCTCACATACATCTGTTCACGGCTCGCAACGACATTGCTCTGCTGCTGTCAGAATTCATGGACGCTGGTATTCCCAAGGTATGATTTTCTTAAAGCCACATGCTGGCAATGTGGTCCCTGGAGGATTGCATTGGGCGCAAAGAACCTGAATCTTTTAACAGAATCAGAATCTTTTAACAGAATCAGAATCTTTTAACAGAATCAGACTCTTCGTCTGATGTTACGACAACTGGGGGGGCAGAAGCAGAAGCAAGCAGGTATCACCATAAGAATTACATGCTCATTCCACGCCATGGCAGGAGGCGATTTGATCAAGGTGGTTTCAATGTAGCCATTGCATCCCTAGGCTTCTTCATCCAGGCACGATTTCCCCTCCCCCTCCGCACAGGTGCGCACAGGGAGAGGGTCGTGTGACATTGTAACGAGGTGACTTTTGAGTTGACTCAAAAGTCACGTCGTTTCAAGTCACACAACACGTTTGAGTCGACTCAATAGTCACCTCGTCCCTCGTCGAAAGGCACGATTTCCCCTCCCCCTCCGTACAGGTGCGCACAGGGAGAGGATCGGACGGCTTTCTTCTGTCCGTGGCGGCCACAGTGCGCCTTCGACACAGTGGATCTGAGCCGTCCCATGCCTCAACAGCGGGTTGATTGATCAGCACACCTACCTACCCACCCATCCCACACCTACCTTCCTCCCCTGCTACACATCCCCCCCCTCCTCTCCCTCGAGGTGCGTGCAGGGAGGGGGTCGGACGACTCTCTGCTGTGCTGCAGCCACAGGGCGTTCGACATGGTGGATGTGAGCCGCCTCACTTGCGGGCTTCTCAGCACACATAGCACCCTCCCACTCATCCCTGCTTTTGAGGCGGATCAAATAGATTCAACCGCGGGATTGTCAGCACACATAGCACCCTCCCGCCCATCCCTGCGTGTACCTCCCTCTCCTGCTCCACATTCTCCCCCCTGACAGGTGCGCGCCGGCAGGGGGGCGGACGACTTTTTGCTGTGCTGCAGCCACAGAGCTTTCGACATGGTGGACGTGAGCAGCCTCAACAGCGCGCTGCTCAGCACGGGGCAATTCTACCTCTTCCATAAGATAGTTCGCCGGGACATGCAGCACCAGATCCTGGGGGACGGAGGGGGCGCAGGGGGCGGAGGGCACAGCAGAGGCCACCTCTACCTCTTCCACTTTCAACTGCCTGCCCTCCCTCCTCTCCTTCCCTTCCCTTCTGTGTACAGGTGCGGGCAGGGAGGGGATCCGATGACTTCCTTCTGTGCTGCGGGCAGCGGGCGTTTGACACAGTGGACGTGAGCAGCCTCAACAGCAGGCTGCTGAGCACAGGCCACTTGTACCTCTCCCATAAGATGGTGCCCGGGACATGTCTCACATTTGCCCCCTTGATTTTCCCCCTTCATTTACCCCCTCGTTTGCCCCCGTGTAGGTGCGGGCAGGGAGGGGATCCGATGACTTCCTTTTGTGCTGCGGGCAGCGCGCCTTTGACACGGTTGACGTGAGCAACCTCAACAGCGGGCTGCTCAGCACGGGCCACTTCTACCTCTTCCATAAGATCGTGCGCCGAGACATGCGGCACCAGATGCTGGGGGGCGGAGGAGATGGAGGGGGAGTGGGGGAGGAGCTGTGGTGGAGGGAGCATGCGGAGTGGAACCAGCACAAGTATGTGCGCCTCACTGCTTCAAGGCCAGCTGCTTCAGCATCGGCATCGTCAGCATCGTCAGCAGCAGCGTCTCCTGCTGCTGCGGCTCCTGTTGAGCCGTTCTCTGCTGCTGCTTCTCCGCCCCACCCACTCTTCCGTTGCGCTAGAGCGGAAGCTGCCAGCCACCCTCCCAGTACGAGCCACAGCAGTGGCAGCACCAGCAGCAGACTGGCTTCTACATCCGCTAGAAGCACAGCCCATCCAGCTATTGGTGTTGGTGCTGCTGACAGAAGCCTTTTGGTATGTCTTGTCGTATTGCCTGTTGTGTCCATCTTGGTCTGTTTCTGTCTCGTTTGTCGGGCTTTGCTTTTCTGCCGCCCATGCCTCTTCTGCATCTCCTTTTCCTTGTCATTTTCTGTCTTATGCGGCGGCTTGTCTCTTCATGCTGATTTGCGCCTGTGCCTTTTCTGTGCCTCATCCCCTTGCACCCAACACAATGCCTCGCAGTTCGACTCGTCTCCACTTATCTGGGCGTGCCCTTGAGTTGGGGTGCTGAAACAAGTATAGTAAAACACACAAATCTTATTTAGTTCCTTTTTGTCTAACGTTTCTAAATGCTGCCTGCGAGCAATTCCATCAAGCACGTCTCATGGGATGAGAAAACATGATAAATTAAGATGTTCACTTATTATGATATTTTCAGATGTACACGATGTAGATATCTATTAGGGTGCTGCAGTGCAATACAAGTATCAGCATCAGCACCAGTATCAGTGTACCTTATGAAGCATCCCTGCTCTTGGAACCCCTAGCTCACGGGCATGCTCGACATGCGGCCCCTGCATCAATTACAAAAGGCTCGACATGCGGCCCCTGCATCAATTACAAAAGGCTCGACATGCTGCCTCTGCATCAATAAGGCCCCTCTCGCTGCCGACACCTGGTGTCAAAGTGCAGCGTTGGTAACGGTAGCTGCGTACAGTACAGCCTCAGAAGGCAGCATGATGCAGCGGAACAAGGGAGGAGTGTGGAGCTGGTGAGCGACAGAGCGGGCACTCGGGCTTCTCGTTGCACCACTCCGCAATGCAACCCCTGGGACAAGAGGAGAGAGGGATGTGGGAAGACACAAAGTGAAAAATGAGGGGATGGCACACAAGGGTGAGGGGCTGGGGAGCGGCAGAGCAGGCATTCGGGCTTCTGATTGCACCACTCCGCGATGCAGCCCCTGGGGGGAAGGGATACGAAGGAAGAAATAACATGAGGGGAGAAGTGTGTGAGAATACGAACGTCACTGGAAGGACTGTGACTCAGCAAGGGAAGTAGTGTCGCGAGCCACTGACGGGAGTATTAACGACACGGCTGCAGGGCCAGCAGGCAGCGTCGCGTGGCAAGGTGGAACGGCATGACATGGAAGGGGGAAGAGAAGAGGTGAGCGCGCACCGAGCCAGCAGAAGAGGTGAATGCAGGGGCAGCGAAATTGAAGGTAAGGCGGAAGATGTGGGAGGGGCAGCAGGTGGGGTGGCAGCGTGTGGCAAGGCGGAGGCGAGGAAGGGAGGAAGAATGATGGATGGAGGTAAGTGTGGGATGATATAGACACAGTGCACAACAGGATGAGTGTGAAATGACTTGGACGCATCTCACAACAAGATGGGTGTTTGCCATACCAACAGAAGATGTGGCCGCAGGGGCAGCAGGTGGGGTGGCAGCGCGTGGCCAGGCACAGGGAGCAGCGGCCACTCGCCTCATTCTCCTCCTCCCTCTCATTCTGGGACTCTTGAGACGCCTCCTCCGCACTCCACCCTGTGCTGGACTCCGCTGGTGCATCGAGCACTGGCTGTGGGCCTGAGGATTGTCAGGTGGGGAAGTGGGAAGGGCGGGAAGGGGGGGAACGGGAGGAAGGGGGGAACGGGGGGAACGGGGGGAAGGGGAGGAGAAGAGCAGAAAGGGATGTGAGCAACCAGCCAGTGGCCTCGTACTCTGCCTCTCCTGCCATTTGAGACTCTGGAGAGACGTCTCCTTTGCACCCCAGCCCTTGCTGGATTCAGCTGGTACATTAGGCAGGGCACTGGCTGTGGGCCTGAGGATGGGAGCAGGTGGGTGTGGGAATAGAAAACTGGAGGAAAGGGGTGGGGTGCGGAGGAGAGAGAAAATGGAGGAAAGGGACATTGCCCACTGGGCGCCTTTTCCTGCTTTCGGATGCTGGCTGAGGGCCTGAGGATGGCAGTGGAGCCTACTTTTGTGGCGCCTAAAAACTAGACGGCCTGAGGATGGGTGTGGGGTCTATGAGAATTCTAAAAAAACGGGCAGGGTGTTTTTTAGCATTCTCAAAATCACCCTGCAGAAATAGACGGGCCTGAGGATGGGTGTGGAGGGATGTGGGTGGGTGGGAATGGCGGGATGTGGGCCAATCAAGCCAATCAAGCCTCAAGGTGGGAGGGAGGGATACGAGTGGTTTGAGAAACGGAGTCAAAGGACAAGGGGAAATCACAGAGGATAGCGAGTCTCTCGTCGTTACTGTCCTGCGATTGGCAGAGGATGGGCCAGGGGCCTCTGTTGCAGCAGGGAACGGATGTGGTAACAGATGTGGGAATGCTGGATGTGGGAATGGGCGTGCTACGTATGAAGACATGGCACGCTCAAGACATCATCAAACGCAAAAGCAGACGCAGGGGATCACACAGCGAGTCTCTTGTAACTCGCCTGCGATCGGCAGAGATGGGCCAGTGGAGTCATATTTTAGAATTCTAAAATCCCAGAGGATGGCGAGGGGGGGGGGGGAATCCCAGAGGATGGCAAGGGTGGGGAAATCCCAGAGGATGGTGGTTTGCCACCACCCTGGCTGGTTTCGCAGTGGTTTGCCACCACCCTGGCTGGTTTCGCAGTGGTTTGCCACCACCCTGACTGGTTTTGCAGTGGTTTGCCGCCACCCTGACAGGTTGGGAAACTCCAGAGGATGGCGAGGTTGGGGAAACCCCCAGAGGATGGTGGCGAGTCTCTCATTACTCGCCTGCGAGTGGCAGAGGATGCGCCAGGGGCCTCTGTTGCAGCAGGGAGCGGCGGAGCCAATCAGAGGAGAGGATGGCGAGCTGGATGAAGAGAAAGAACGCGAGCATGTGGTACCTGCGATTGGTGGGGGGGCATGGGTGGGGGGCATGGGTGGGGGGCATGGGTGGGGGGCATGGGTGGGGGGCATGGGTGGGGGGCAGGGGTGGGGGGCATGGGTGGGGGGCATGGGTGGGGGGCATGGGTGGGGGGCATGGGTGGGGGGGGGCATGGGTGGGGGGCATGGGTGTAACAGTGTAAATGTATCAAACGCCTGTAGCCCTCTCCACCCCATGCCAGTAGAAGAGCAGCAGGTGGTTTCACTCCTGAAATGACTAGCCAGGAATCAGACCCGTGAGAGTAGGTGGGTGGTTGAGCGGTGTAGTAGATGTACCAAACACCTGTAGCCCTCTTCACGACATGCAGATACGCGGCATGGCAGTAGAAGAGCAGCGCAGTGTGGCTGAATTGCATGACCGGACAACACTGCACCAACCGGAGGTGATTTTTTGAGTCGACTCAAAAAACACTGCACCAACCTGGGAGAGTACGCGGGTGGTTGAGCGGTGTAGATGTACCGAACACCTGTCGCTCTCTTAGCTAAGTGCAGGTACGTGCCGTGCCAGTAGAAAAGTAGCAGGTGCGCCCTCCCCAGCAGCATCACGACATCCCCCCCTCGTGCTGCCACCCCCGCCCACACCACCAGAGCCCTCCTCCCCATCGCCCTCACTCCCTCCCTCACTTGCTGCATCCATTGCCTCCACCAGTTGACACCCACCGCCATAGCTGCCACACACCCCAGTCCCACCCCTCCCCTGCCGCTGCTGCTACTGCTACCAAGAGTGCTTGCTGCACCCCCTGCCCCCGCTGCTGCACCCCCTGCCCCCGCTGCTGCACCCCCTGCCCCCGCTGCTGCACCCCCTGCCCCCGCTGCTGCACCCCCTGCCCCCGCTGCTGCACCCCCTGCCCCCGCTGCTGCACCCCCTGCCCCCGCTGCTGCACCCCCTGCCCCCGATGCTGCACCCCCTGCCCCCGATGCTGCACCCCCTGCCCCCGATGCTGCAGCGCCGCTGCTACTGTCGCTGCCACTGCGGCTGTCTCCACTGCTGCCAAAACCCGCCTCCCCCGCTGCAGCCAGCGCCCTTCCCCGGACGGCGGCTCTGGCGCTGATGTGAGCTGCCATGGCAGGTAGAAGCGCGTGCAGCAGCACTAGAGAGAGCCGCCGCGCTGGGGTCGGGGGGAGGTTGTAGCTGCCTGATACCTGGGAAGGGCGAAAGGGAGCAACAGGGACATTGGGCGGGCAAGAGAGAGAAGGCTTGAGCTAGGGCGCTTCCCCTGCCTGCCGCTGCGAGCACCCTTCCCCTGGCGACGGCTCTGGCGCTGACCTGAGCTGCTATTGGGGGCAGGAGCTGCTATTAGTGCAGCAGCTCCAGAGACATTCGGCGCTCTGGGGTAAGGGGGAGGTTGTAGCTTCCTGAAGCCTGGAACGGTGGTAGGGTGAACGGATAGGGGCAGAACTGGCGCTGAGGTGAGGTGCTATTGAGGGGAGGAGTGCGTGCCGCAGCACGAGGAAGAGACGGCGGATGACCTTTGATTCGACTAGATGCCTGATGGGAGGGAGGTTGTAGCTGCCTGATGCCTGGAACGGTGGGAGGGTGAATGGATAAGGAGAGAGGGAGGGCAGAGGTGAGCTGATGTGAGGTGCTATTCAGGGGAAGAGTGCGTGAAGCAGCATGAGGGAGAGACGGCGGATGACCTTTGAGTCGACTAGAGAGCAAAGCAGACTACCTGCAGAATGTCGCAGTATTCATCCCCTAGCGTCCTGCTGCCAGCACCCATCGTCACGAGGTAGCAAAGGCAGGCATGGAAGCACCAACTACTGCTATGAGCTTTACACTAAGACACTACCTGCAGAAATAACGCCCCACGTGCAGTAAAAAAGCCCCACCTGCAGTATATCACAGTATTCCTCCCCTAGAGTTCTGCTGCCAGCACCCGTCGTCACGAGGTAGTAAAGACACCGAGCCGCCATGCGGATCTGGCCGCCCCATTGGCCGGCGACGCGGTGGCCGAGCTGCGAGCCAATCACATCGTGACACATGTCGCCCAGCGACGCCGCGTACAGCTCGTCCTTCTCCGCGGCGCGCATCACCTCTGGCTGCGCCGCCGGCGGAAACTGCACGCCCGGGGGAACCCCAGAGGGAGCCGCCGCCGGGGCATCCTCCGCCCGCCTATTGCCGTTCTGCGCCGCTGGCGGAAACTGCACGCCTGACGATTCTTGCCGCCGCGCCCGAGATGCAGAGGGAAACTGCACTCCTGTCTCGTTGGCATGTGTCGCTGTTCCTGATTCCCTTCCCGTGGACCCTAGACTTGAAGACGCCTCGTTAGCTGTTGTGGCTGGTGTGCCGGCCATTATGAGCAACCGGAAGTTCTAACATGCGCTTGTTTACGCGTCCTAGAAGTTCTACATAGTAGGCTCTGGATTGGCATACGCGACTGGTTCTGGTACTGCTTTGTTTATTATACTTCTCACTTCTTCTCAGTGTTTAGTGAGACACTAAAGAGTAATGTGTATGTATAATGAAGCGCAAAGAGCATGTGTCGAAGGATTGAGTAACGAGGAAAACAATACAACTGAGGCCACATCAAAACAGCAGGGAGCATGGATATAGCTAACCTAGAGCACACAGTCGTGGCTCGGCAGAGCTGCGACGTGTGGTTCGTAAATTGGGGCGAAGCGCCCAGATCTAGGCATGAAACAAGGCAGACAAAATGCATGCGGTTCGTCAGGAGGCCACATTTGGGTTACGTGATGCGTGGCAACCCCGTTATAGCAGTGTACGCCTTACTAATAACTAAAACCTGTGATAAGGAAATACCATTTCCTTACACCCTCCCCCCTCCAAGGTATGGTCTTAGTTAAGATCGTCGACGACGCACATTGCATGACTGGAGGTAGACTCGTAACACCAGGTAATTCTCGATCTGTGCCAGGGGCACCCAACTGTTTACCAGGGCCGTCCGGTCCTTCCAGGATATCAGAAACTCGATCAGGCGAGCCCCTCGAGGGTCCTTGATCCGATGGTTGTGAATCTTCGCAAGTTCGTCAGTAGGCTCGGCGAGTGGCCGGATGTTCAGATTTGCTCGGTGACATAGTAATACAATGGTGCTGGCGATGTATGGTCGAAGTAAGCGCATGCGGAATGATGGGCTGATTTTTTAAGTAGCAGTAAATGGGTTGTGACGGAATATATCAAGCGGGTGATGGCAAATGGTCCAAGATAACGAGGGCGAAGTTTTGGGACGATGGGAAGTCGAAGGTTCTTGGTGTCGAGCAGTACTAAGTCTCGAGCATGATAAATTACTGCTCGTCGGTGTAGATTGGCGTTGCACTTGGAAATAACATTCGCGCACTTAATGGCTTCGGCTGCTCGCTCTCGGGCATTCTGTAATATTTCAGCGAACTGTTGGGCTCGAGGTACTGGATTTTCGATGTTGGGCATGATCGGTACTGTAGGGTCCTGCCTGTAATTCAGCTAGAATGGTGACTGTCATGTAGTGGCTGACGGGGCGTTGTTATGCGCGAACTCAATCAACGGGAGTTGCTGCTCCCAGTTGGCCATGCCATCGCAGGTGGTGCGAATCAACTGTTCCATTGTCTGATTGGCCCGTTCGGTTTGTCCGTCAGTCTCAGGGTGGAAGGCGTAGGAGAATTGCAGGCGCGTGCCAAATTGCTCCTAGAGGTTACGCCGCAAATTACTGGTGAACTTCGTGTCACAATCCGAAATGATGGCGGATGGAATTCCGTGGAGGTGGACACCCGTTGAGGTGAAAAGGCAGGCTATTTCTTCGGTTGCGATGCTTTTCTTGCCGGCGGCGAAGTGGGTCATCTTCGTCAGCTTATCGACGACGACAAATATCGCATCATTACAACAATCTTTGGCAGTTAGTCCCGTGACGAAGTCCATCGTCACTTGCTGCCACTCACGCCCAGGCAGAGGAATCGGATGCAACTGTCCAACTGGCTTTTGCTTCGATGGTTTCATGGTTTGGCACGTTCTGCACGAAATCACATGCCGCTCCACGTCCCCTTGCATGCCGGGCCAAAAATAATATCTGGTCAACTGCTGTCGTGTTTTCTCTACTCCGAAGTGCCCCAAAACCATACTGTCGTGGGCTTCCTGTAGTAGTAACTCCCGTAATAAGTTGTACTCGAGGTACCCAGATGCGTTCAGTCCGTGTCTTTACGTAATAGACTCCCTTAGCAGTTGCAAGCTGTTCGTACACACCCGACGTAAAGAATTTGTTCGTCTGGTACCCATGGGTAAATAGGTCTGTTAATAGCGGGAAGGTTTGGGCAAGGATGATGGAGTTGAGATGGGCGGCCGGGCGAGAAAGGGGGTCTGTGATATTCGATGCCCCTTTCTTGTAGGTGACCGTATAGTGGAAGTTGGACTCCATGAAGTCGAACCACCGAATCGGTCGTGGGTTGAGTAGTGGTTGTGCGCGGATGTACTGTAGGCTTCGGTGGTCTATCCGTACTATCATGTCCGCGCCCGTCAGGTAGCACCACCACACCTTGAAGGCGTGCACGATCGTGAGCATCTCCTTGTGTGTCAAATAATTTTGCTCGAGTGGTTGCAGCTTTCGTGACTCGTACGCGATTAGCTGTAGGCCTTCGCTGAAGTCCTGTAATAGTATTGCTCCAATGGCGATGTCGATGTCATCTATGATTTCTTCGAATGGACGGTGAGGATCGACAATACGAAGGACAGGGGCTGAGCACAGAAAAATTTTGAGCGCAGAGGAGGCAACTTGCTCTTTCTCCCCGCACCTATACTCAGTCCCCTTCTGCAGTAGGTCAGTTAACGGTGCAGTTACCCCCGCCATATTCGGGATAAATCTCCGAACATAATTGACGAACGCTATGAAACTCTGTAGCTCCTACAGTTTTCGGCGGTATCCAAGCTTGCACAGTCTTGATTTTGCGCAGGGCCACTTCCACACTCTTTGTGGAAATAACGTGTCCCAGAGATTCTAAGCGGTCTTTTAAAAACTCGCACTTAGACCCCTTCGTCACAAGCCGATGCTCCTTCAGTAGCGTGAAAACTGCTTCGAGGTCCTTTAAGTGCTGCTCCTAAGTCTCAGTGTAGATTAGGATATCATATAGGTAAACTATAATACATTTATCTATGAGCGATCTGGTTCATGGCCATCTGAAATGTCGACAGGACGTTCGTCGGTCCACAGGGCATAACTATATACTCAAAACTCTTGTACCTTATACGAGACACGGTCTTGTGACAGTCAGTTGCCACTGGGAAAATCTGATGGTAACCCTCTCGTAAGTCTATTTTCGAGAAGAAGCGAGGTTTGCGAAGTTGGTCGATCAGTTTGTCAGCGTGGGGGATCGGGTAACGCGACTTGATAGTCACCCGGTTCAGTGCTCTGTAGTCAGTGCACATTCGGTTCCGGCCGTCCTTCTTCGGGGTGAACAGTATGGGGGTGGCAAATGGCGAGGAGCTCGGGCGGATATTTGTTTTTCTCTAGTAAATAATGTACAGTGGCGGAATAAATTGCCCGGATGTTTAACACTTTGAAACATATCGCTTTGCCACACATGTTTCGAAAATAGTAACACCCGTTTTTTGCCATTCCGTTACAAGGTGTTCGAGTTCTGCTTCAACCGTTTCTTGCTTGGCGCGATTGTGACACAACCGGAAAGTGGGGTTGAAATTTACTCCTCAACTATCGAAGCGGATATTTCCTACCGAGCGGAAGAGTAGATCTATTTTCCCCCGTCACTCGGTGTGTACATCGTCACGCGCAATAGTTGCTGGCTTAGGAGTTAGTCCGAGAGCGAGCCGACGACCGCATCGCCATGAAGCCGTTAAATGAGCGGAAGCGCGCGCGAATCATAAGCATGTTGCGTGCGGGCCATTCGACTAGGAAAATAGGCAAAGTTCTTGGCATAGGCAAGAGCACCGTGCACGATTACGGTTTGAAAGTGGCTGCCGAGACTAGTCGTGAGGAGGTGCGACCTATGATGCCTACGGCCGGCCGCCCCCGCTTAATCACTACCCGTCTCCAGCGCGGAATAATACGCGCGATTACAAGCGGCGAGGCGAAAAGCTCTGTAGACTCGGCATATGTGTTGTTGGAGAAGCACGATCTCACCTTACTCGAAGACGGTACGGAACTCATTACGATCCGCGTGGCTGATCGCCGTGCATCAGCCCAAGAAACCCAGGCTCTCACCGAAAAACATCCGAGATCGTCTCGACTTCGCGTGGTCGCATGCCGACTGGACGCTGGAGGACTGGAAGCGGGTGATTTGGTCTGACGAGACAAAGATAAACCGCTACTGCTCCGACGGACGTGCGTACGCCTGGATTCGCGAGGGCACCAGCCTTCGGAGCCACCAAGTCCAACAGACAGTTAAGCATGGGGGCGGTTCTGTGATGGTGTGGGGTTGCATGACGTATGAGGGGGCGGGGTTCATGTGCAAGATAGATGGCAGGATGGATGGGCCGCTGTATCGCAGCATCTTGCAAGATGAGCTCAAACAGACCATTGATTTTTTCAAGCTTTCCCCCTCAGAGGTCATTTTCCAGCACGACAATGATCCCAAGCACAGGTCTCGTCTGGTCCAAGACTGGCTTGGGGAGCAGGAGTACGCGGTGCTGGAATGGCCGTCGTGCTCCCCGGACCTTAACCCGATTGAGCACCTGTGGGCACACTTGAAAAGGCAGCTGGGGAAGTACGAAAAGCCGCCAAGTGGAATGCTGGAGCTGTGGGAGAGGGTGCAGGAGGAATGGGACAAGATACCGGCAGAGGTGTGTGCAAACCTGATCGACAGCCTGCCGAGGAGGATCAAGGCAGTGATTCGGGCAAAGGGACGCTGGACTAGGTACTAGTTTTCACAGAATCTAGTATGCTATCAGTTTTCGGTACAAATTGTCCGGATGTTATCCTATGCTATGCTTAGGTGTTTAAGGACCATGTGTGGTACTACTTTGGTGTTTGTCAACTCGAGTGAGTGCTCTTACTGAACTTCTCAGCGTGTATGCACACCATACGTTAAGGCTTAATGTTTACATCGCTGCACTCATCAAAATGCCAAAAAAGGCTGAACATGTGGACAATTTATTCCGCCACTGTAGCTGCTTTCGCAATTCTTCTTACTCCGGCTGTGTCAATCAAAATTGCCGCTGCACTATGGATTGTGTCCCCGGTTCTAATTCCATTCGATGATCGAAGGGACATTCTGGTGACAATCCATCAAGCAGGTCGTCTGGAGATATTTGCGGAAATCCGCGAATCAGCTGCGCTAAATCGGCCGGCATTGCTGCTGTCAGCTTCTCTAAATTGGACGGCTGCAATGCCACGTCAGTGGCGCGAACGACTACAGCGAAGACTTCTGCTCCCCATACGACTGCTCGTTTGATCGCCACGGCATTCACTTGCGTCACCCCCCCCGTGACCCCCTTCGTCCATTCTGGTAACGTCACACTGCGGCCGTTGATTTTGACGGAACAGTTGGCGGACGTCCAGCTAATTTTTGGATTGTAGCGTCACAGCCAATATCGTCCCAACAACATGTCGAAGCGTCGCAACATCCCCATAAACAAATTGAATTCAGCTTGAGAGCGTACCCTAATCCTGTCCGCCCAGTCTTTTATTGCTAGTGGGGTCCCATCGACTAGTCGGGCGCCAGTCTCCAATAGACACCTATCTAAGGGCAACTTCATTTTTCTGGGCGTGGCGAGGTTTATCAGACTGTGGCTGGCTCCCGCGTCCACGAAGATTTTATTTTTCCCCCTTGAACCCACCCTCTAAATAAATGGGGTAATCCGTCATTGCAGTCTCTTTATTTAGCTGATTTTGGTCGATTTCATGTATCGGTACCAGTACTTGATGAAGGTCATCGGTCACGGGCGAGCAGGTTCCATCAGTTGTTGGCCCATTAAGTACTGATTGCTAGAACTCCCCTACCCCTTATTCCGCTTCTTCCACTCCTCTGGGCATTCTGACTTGCGGTGTCCCGGCCTGTTACACACGAAACAACGACATTTGAAGGTTGTAACAGCTGAGTTCAATGTTGTAATAGCATGTACAGTGGCACCCTCAATTGGTCCCCGAGTGCGACTTCCGTCATAGGAACCCGCGTTGGCATGAAGATCGTCCTAGTGTCCACCCTATGGTTCTTCATTCGCGTGCTCCTCCATTCACAGTCCTCCTATTGCCTCCCCTGTCATCGCTTCCGTCGTTCCCCCCTCCTCGCTCCGATGATGCTCTCACTGCTCGTCCTACCCTCTCGCGCTTGCTTGTGTTGCTTCTCACTAACCCTAGTGCTCCTCTTGAGAATGTCTCTGTGCTTGTCGCTGCAGTCGCTGACTTTGCTGCTAGCCACCGCCTTGACTACACTGCCGCTCTGCTCTCTGGTACTGCCTGTCCTCCATCCATTCGGAGGTGCACTTGCCATAGGCAGTGACGTGCTAGAGGATAGGTAGTACGAGTTAGCCTACCTTGCTGCTGCTGCTCCTCATCTTTGCTCCATGCTTGTATCCCGAGAGGGCGACCCAAACGCTCTCGACATCCCTTTTCCGCGCACGTACGCTGAGGCGGTGTCGGGGCCTTAGGCCGTCCAGTTGGATACAGGCCATGGAGGCTGAGATGTCATCCTACAAATCCACAAGCACATATGTCGACGCAGTTCCCCCGCTTGGGGCGAACGTAGTTGATGGCATGTGGATCTACAGAGTGAAGCGTGCACCTGCAGAGCCGCCGAAGTTCAAGGTGCGTTACATGGCTAGAGGCTTCAGTCAGCGTGAGGGTGTGGACTTCTTCCAGACCTTCTCCCCGACCCCGAAGATGACTACTCTTCAGGTCCTTCTTCACATAGCCGTGCAGCGTGACTACGAGCTTCATGTACTCGACTTCTCCACAGCGTTCCTGCAGGGTAGTCTACACAAGAAAATCTACCTCCGGCGCCCTCTAGGCTTCTCTGGGTCCTTCCCACCTGGAACCGACTGGAGCATGCGCCGTCTTGTCTACGGCCTTCGTCATGCACCCTGTGAGTGGCACGACACCCTTCGCACCACTCTTGCTGAGCTGCATTTCTTTCCCTCCTGTGCTGACCCCTCTCTCTTTGTTCGCACGGGTCAGACACCATTCTATATTCTAGTGTACGTAGACGATCTTATATTTGCTACTCCCCATAGAGTCGCACTGGCCTCAGTGAAGGCCGAGCTACTTAAGAGACACACCTGTATAGACTTGGGGAAGCTGAGGCGCTACCTGTGCTGGGAGATCGCTCGTGACCGTGCTGCTCGCACGATCAAACTCTCCCATTCCCATATGGTGTAGTAGATCCTCCAGAGGTTCAGTCTCCAGTTCTCCTCAACACTGCCCACCCCTCTGCCTATGGATCACAAGCTCTCTGCTCCTGTTCCGGCTGACCCGATTGAGGCTGGTGGTCCTTACGCAGAGTCGGTGGGTTGCCTCATGTACCTGATGACCTGCACTCGACCAAATCTAGCGTACACTCTCAGTCTCTTGGATCGCTTTGTTACGACAAGCAGGCACCGACCAGTCCATTGGTTGGCTGCTAAGAGGGTACTACGGTATCTGGCGAGTACATCAGGAATAGGGCTTTTGCTCAGTGGACACACAGACGCGTCGTGGGCTGACGATGTGGAGATGCTTAGGTCGTCTCAGGGCTACTGTTTTAGTCTTTGTGCTAGTGCAGTCTCTTGGAGGTCTACCAGGTCATCGTTTGTAGCTCAGTCCAGTTGTGAGGCAAAGATCTACGCTGGGGCTATGGCCGCTCAAGAGCTCTGCTAGCCGGCTAGAGGCGGACCCACGACTGGGGCTGCTGCGGCTGCTGCTGTGGCTGCTGCTGCTCTTGGACACCAGCCCCAACCCCCTCGTCAGAGCCACTGTTCCACCACCACTACCACCACCAGTGCCACCACCACCAATGGCCCCGTCGCTGTCGCTGCTGCGAGAAGACCGCAGCTGCGGTCTCCGGGGCAGGGGTCGCCATAGCGACAGTGACAGAAACACCAGCGTACGCGCACTGGGAGAGAGCACAGCCCTGGAAGATAGGGACTTCCGCAACACTGCTCGACTGAGCGATAGTGCGCTGGTGAGTCTCTATCTCAGATAGGGCTGTGACAAAGGCAGCCAGGGTGAGGTCCCCAGGATGCTGGCTAAGAAACTAGTCGCGGGCACTGGCTAAGGGGTCAGGCAGGCGCATGACAATAAGGTACAGGGTGATGCAGACGGTGGGGGAAGAGCAGTGAGATGGGCGGCAGTGCTAGCAGTGCGGTAGCTAGTCTCTAGTGCACGGAGGTGAGTGGCGAGGTAAGCGATAGTGGGAAAAAGTAGCCCGATCTGGGAACAGCATCGGGAGGATCAAGTGGCCAGCAGAGGCGGAGGCGGGTGTGGAGTAGCGGGCAACTACGACATCTAGGAAATATTTGGAGTTCGCGACAGTAGTGAAGCACGGATGCACAGACAGGGGAAGAGCATGACTAATGGCGAGCTGCGCTACAGCATCGCGCGAATCCCAGATAGAGCGAGTGAGAGCAGCAGCAGATAAGACCTCATGCTCATCAATGTTGGGATTAGCAAGGAGAGGATCAGGCGCGGGGGGGCGGGGAAGCAAGCCATCAACATGTATAGCCAGGGAGTGCCCATCCTGGCGCTGACTTGTCAGTTGACGGCGAAAAGGGACAAGCCAAGAGGCGAAGTCGATCGCGTGTCCCTCGGCGTCCAGGCGGAGTATGACGTCTGCTATTGTGCAGCCTCAGTATCACAGCTCCACGGCGGCACAGCGACACGGCGGCACCGTGGCACCGCGGCACAGCGGCGTGGCGGCAGGAATCTCTAGCGGGAAGACTAGGCGGGAAAGGCCGAGCAGAGCGCACAGGGCCCGAGGCGCGCAGCAAGTCGACGAGGCGCGGCAAGCCGGCGGGTACAGGAGGAGCCAGCGGGCGCGCGAGGGGCAGGCAAGCGCGAAGGGGCTGGCGAGGTGCGTGAGGGGCCGGGCGGGTGCGCGAGGGGAGCTGACAGGGCGCGCGCTGAATGGGCGGCGGGCACGCTAGGGGCTGGTTAGGTGTGCGAGGGGCTGATGGAGCGCGAGGTGCCGGCGGTCACGCGAGGAGCCGACAAAGTGCACGAGGGGCCGGCGGGGCGCTAGGGCCCGACACGGCGCACTAGGGGCCGGCAAGGTACGCGAGGGGTCGGCGCGGCGATGAAGAGCGGCGTGCATGCTAGGGGCCGGCGGGTAGGCTAGGGCGAGGGGCGGAAGCGGGTGGGCGGACCTAACCTACTATGATACCATGTCAGAATACTAGAATGGTAAAAATGAAGTGAGAACAAATGAGATATAGGGTTGGAGTTGTACCCCCTAAGAACACAAACCTATCGAGCCTATAACTTCTATATACAAACCTATGTATAAGTTGACATGCTTGTCTTGCTACACTTGTTGACTAACCTTGTGGCCGCTTGTCTCAGTGGTCAGCACTACTAGTCTGCCCGGAGGATATAACTCCAGTATATAACATCATGGATAAAAAAAATCACTGAAAAAATGAGCGGCTGTTATCAATGGCCCGGGAAAATATAATGGCCATGTGTTATGTAAAATGCAAAATGAGTTTGAGTGTTCCAGACCCTATTTGCCCATAAGGGTGTGGAGCGTCTGCTAACGAGGTAAAAACATGGAATTTCCTATCTCCCCCACAATCGTAACCCCTCTCAGTAGAACTTAGGACACTAGCTCGGAAGCTATGATGAAGGAAGGTAGGTAGGCAGTAGCTAGGAAGCTAAGAAGGCCGCCATGAATGTGGCGGCGGGGTTTAGCTAGGAGGTAGGAAAAGTGTCGAGAGGAAAAGAGAGATGGAGTAGGAAGAGAGAGGCATACAAGGAGGGGCTTGTACCCTCTACAGTAAGGTTCAGGTACCTACTAAGCCTACAAATTATATAACACTATATAATCGTGACACACCCCCTAGGCTTGGTACTGTCAAGCCCATACACACACCCCCACACCCCCTAACTAAGCAACCATGCCCAGCAGCAGCTGAGATGCCGTCGGGACTGGTCCAGTCCCACGGCCCGGGAGAC